AAATAATAAGGCTTTCAAGTGGTTTGCAAGAAATACAAGCACCTGATAAATAATAGGTCAAAAGATTTGTCATCTTCAACAAAAATACAAATAAAAGCCCGATAAAAAATATTAGAAAAACAATTCAGACAAAACTTTGCACTCCTATATTGGCTATAAATAAATTAAAGATGAAAGTCATAAAAATTTTCAAATAAAGGGTATAAAATTTATCAACTAAATCCCCCACCCCACCTACGAAAAATTTTTCTGGAGTTTATAAGTGTTTCTACCATAATTTAATTAATAGTTTCAAATCCTATATAGTAATTTTCGTTGTAAAAAATCGTAACACCTGTTCTCTTCAGAGGATGCTTTTATGCTTCAGCCTAATTTTTGATAGATCGAGATAGTTTTTATGTAGGGGAAATTCCAAATTTAACTTGGTTATAGGGTAAATTGGCTTGATGCTAACTTAGCCTCGAATGAGAACTATAAAAATCTGATTTATTACATACACAAACCTATAAAGTTTACATAGGCACAAAATGTTAAGAGAAAACACAGTCCTTTCCTTGCCACTAAAATTCACAATTAAAATCAATCCAAATTAAGTATGACGTTAAATCAGTGCTAAATCACTCTATCCTTTGCTAGACACTGAACGCTGCAGAGCGAATCACTGCGATTTTCACGCCCCATTAATCCGCACAACCCTAAAAGCGCCACCGCCGAATGGATTACACATTAACGTGTGCACAGTAATGGAATCGCCCTCTCGTTGGGCAGCTAATTAATATCGAATATGCTCACGCATCGTAAAATATACGCGGCACGACAACGGGAAATGAATTAAATTTGCAGCACATATAGTCTGCAGAGCTGGACGCGAGCGATTCTATTTCGGGCGCATGAAACACTCGGCTAATAATTGCAATGCGAAAAGCGAATTTATCTCCCGAATTCAGAACTTACGACGCTCGGCACGGAGGATTTTTCTTTCTCTGCTCCTTGTATGAAATATGCACGCGGCGCTGCGTTCAATCATTTGTGCGGCGCCTAGTGCAAAATTAAGGCGCTCCGAATCGTAAATGTTTTATGAGGCCCATTAAGATGAGGCTCTCTCTCGCTTCGCTGCTGCCGCAGATGACGAGATGATTTCTTTAAAAACGGCTCGAGAGATGAAAACTTGTCCCAGGAGCAAAGGTCGCCTAATTTTGAAACGTTTTCTTCAGAAACAAAATTTAAACTTTGAAATAATCGGAGAAAACATTCAAATTACTGAAAATATTTAAGTTTTTCATTTTCAAAATAATAATTTTTAAAGCAGCAACGGATTTAAAGTTTCCACCGAACATACTACCTATGGGTGCGTTTCATTTGAATCCAAAAATTAAATTTAAAAGAATCAAAATTACTTTATAAATTCAACGTCCAAAAGCTCTAAATAAAAAGCATTTGTTGTATTCAAGATTTTTTAATGTTTTTTATACAAGATGTAGAAACAAAAATATTTTCCTTTGCTTGATCAGTTTATTGTGCCCCATCAATTAAAAGGCGACACGTCAATAGGTTGAATCACAAGCCCGTGAAAAATCTCGTTTCGTCAAACAAACGCCGAAAATAAAAGCACGGCCCACCCACGGGCAGCGTCAAACACAATGCCTCCGATTGTTAGCTGCAGTCCAAATCGAATGGCGTGTTTATTTATGATCGGCGACTTTTATTGTATATCAAGGCCTAATTTGCCATTAAAAGGGTGCTTTATGGCGCGGCCGAAAAAAGGGAGACAGCGAATGTTTACAAACAGCCTGCTGGTCTTGACGGATGGGTCACTTCTGAGTGGCGCTTGGCAATTTTAACGAATATAAAAATAAAGCTCTCTCTGTGTGATAATGCTGTATCGTAACCTTGACTCTGCCAGAAGTGTGTGTATGGATGAGTGAAGGAAGAACTGGCCAGGCGAACCCTCGCCAAACGAGCGCACTCGCCGCATTATTCGGCACAACAGCCCTCCACACCATCTCCCATAAAACGGGCACACAGCTTGCAAAAGCGAATCTGGACGCGACGTGCTGTTTTAGGTTGCGGTTGACAAGTGGGGTGTAATTTTCTAAACAATCCTTTTGAGTGTGAAACAAGCTTTTTGAGCTGCCAAAAATTACTTTAACACAACAAATAAAATTATACTAATTTTTCTTTTTATTAATTTGTATCGTATTTTCAACATTAAATATTTATTAAACACATGTGCTGTATTTTATTTAAAAAAATACATACCATAAACCAAAATATCTATGTTTTTGTGTTTAAATGTATAACAGCTTATTTTAGTACTAAAGGGTTTGAAAGTTTTGAACAATCTTGTCCCGCTTTTTTGACAGCTAAACTCTACATCGTTTTGAATTATAAATTATTAATTATTACATGGCAACAAATAAAGTTATTTTAAGATTATATAAAAGAATTTTAGTCCTTATTGGGCGTACCTCACTTTCAGTCATGAAAAAGATTGATCATAGAGGCACCATTCATTAATTATTCCCCTTTATAAAAAAAACGATTTGTAAAGCAAAATGAACTACAGGATGATTTTTTTTATAAGCTGAAGTAACAGGTTGAAACTGTTGTTAGAATTGTGACTTTATTTTAATTCATCCAAGCATATTGATCAAATTTACATAAATATAGCAATAGTTTTTAATTTTAAATTTATACGAATTATATAAGTTCTCTAATTTGTAATCAGATAATTGAATTTTTAACTTTGCGTACATGATCCTTTGAGGCCGCTCAACTATCTGCATTGCAGTTGGTTAAAAATTGAAATAAACGTGTACGGTCACTTGCTCATCACATCTGTGGACGCAATCCATATTTGTAGCTAAACGAGCGTGCAAAAAAGCATAAAGTCAAATAAACCAGAAAAGGCCAGCCATTATTTCGTTGCAAAGTAAATTATTGCCAGGCTGGAGTGCTGTCAGCCATGGTGCTGGTGCGTGCATCGGTAATCGCGACCATTAATAAGCATAAAGTATGTGAAATAGAGTCCACACATATTTTATCCCCTGAGAGATAACCGGACATGTTTGGCGCTAAAATATGCGCAAAATAAATCAACAACCGACCGGTTGAAATTATGCAATGGACCGTCGATCTGCGTTGCAATGCAAATTTCGCAACATTGCTGATTGATTGTGCAGAAAAGCGTGTCTTTTACGTTCACTCGCTGCTTTTTCGCGACCCTTTTGTTGACCGGCGCGCGAGAAAGAGGCACCGCTCGCTCGATTGACCTTTGTTAAGCCGCCGTAGAGAGGGTGGGTGACCGAAAGCACGTTTTTTGATGACTCGCCTGCTGGCATTTGGAGCACCACCGCGGCACAGAGAATAAAGAGAAACGGGGCGAGTGAGAGAGTTGAGAGCACCCCCCACAACAAGCGCACGCCTAAACGTTTTGTTGTCAACCACCAAGAAAAAGCGTTTCACCTTTTTGCAACTAAAAATTTGTGAATTTATGACATTTTTGTTAGAGCCTAAAATTAGAGTAAAATCGAGACTTTGGGACGTCATTGTTGAATGCCCATTGCTTCTACCGATTTATCGCGTGATAAGTGTCTTGAACCACCGTGCTAAATTTTGTATTGAAAAATTTAAAAATAAGTAATTTATTTTTTAAATAATTTTTTCATAGAATATTTACATCTAATTTAGTATTTAGTGCTCTCAATCAACCTTCGTAATTTCAAAAATTAGAATATTTTGAAAATATATTTTCATCTCACTGATAAATTATAATTTCCATTGCCTTTTTTCCTCTTCTCTTTCCTGAAATTGGTATAGGAAGAGTGAAACTTCTAGAGTCAAGGGTCGCAGTGTGTATATCAAACAAAACTCAAAGGATGTTGATCCTTTGCGATTGAATCTCTGTGTTCTCGAGCTAAAGACCAGATAGCACAGCAGACACCTGCTCAAGAAGAAAAAAACAGAGACTCTGCTCGTCTGAGTGCGATAATAAAAATTCCTTTCACAGTCCCCCTTTCAAGAATTTAATTATACACCCCGCGCACGTCGCATTTTCCTCTAATTTTTCCATCCAACCTCTCTGAGAGGAGTTCCAATTACTAAATTTATTAACGCGAGGAATTAATATGCCCGTTACGAGAGATTTCTCATTTCTGATTCGTAAGTACATTTTTTTCTTTTAATCTAATACAAAGAGACGTGATTATATCGCGCGCAAGGAAAACATCTTCCGTCTCTCTCTTTTACCTCGGAGTCGCAGGTCGAGATCTCAAAGATTCAATGCGAGTCATGTAACAAGAGATTATATTACCCCGGGAGACAGCAAGAGACTCTAATATATAAATCTGCTGGCATATTACAAAATCCGAGATCTTGGAGATCCAACACACAGCTATTTACTGTCTTTAACTGCAATTAATCAAAGTGTGTTTAGGTTTCGTAATAGCGCTGTAAGAGTTTTTATTTGCTTGAAGAACGTAAGTATTCTGATAGAGAGAAAGAGAAGAAATAATTTTAATGTGTTATGAAATTTTTCAAAAAGACATTTATAAAATAAAAAGGGGGGACAACTGGTTATCAATCTCATGAATGAAGAATACGGAAGAATAAATAATTACTTTATATCCGGATTATTTAAAAAAAATCAAAGGCTCTAAACGTAGGCGGAATTAATGAAACAAAGCCTCTGTCAACAATGATTAACACCTTAAATTGGAATCTTGTCTTCAAAAAAATTGTCAGAACGTATCCTAAAGATGAGTGTAAAACATCAAATGTTTTTTGTAACATTTATAAAAATATTTATTTTAAATTTCCTTATAGGTTTTAACAAAATCATTACACTAAAATTTATTGGTAATAAAAAAATTGCTATGAAAATTTTATTATTACTTTAAACTTATAGATACTTATAGATAATCAATATTTTATATAACAGTTTTTGTGAAAGAAATTAACGTTTCATTAAAAAAAATGCAAAATTTAAGTATAATACGTACAGGGTGGTGGTGTTATGCGGCACCTGCGGCACGTCTGTCAGGTGCAGGTACATGCATCGGACGGTGGTGCGGAAGCAGAGGCAGTTGGAAGGGCAGTTTTGCTGCTGGCCGCGGCCGACGGCCACCAGGGCGCACGCGATCATCCACAGCGGCCACCACATGCTCGTCGTTGTCGGAAGCCGGCACGGGTCGTCGGCGGGCCGTCCGATTCGCAGCACTCGTTCGACTCGACTAAATTCCAAATCAAGAGATGCGAGCGAGCGAGCGAGTGCGACTTGGAGGATCTTCTCCTGAGCGCCTAGTTGGTCGCTCACCCGCCAGAGCGCAACGCCAATCTGGACCACAAACCGTGCCTGATTCACGGTCACAGCACTTCAGCACGTGGGTCCAATCGACACTCATAATAATTATGCATTAAATTTGTAATACATGCATTGAAAATTAATTTTTTTTTGTTCTGCTTGCAAAAGATTGTAACATAAAATATCTTTAGTTTAAAATCTATGTAATTAAAAAAATCTTTAGAATTATCTAGTATAATTAAGTGTATTCCACATTTTACAAGCGCTGCAAGTTTAAATTGTATACAAAAAAATTCAGAGAGCTTTTTTTTAATTATGAAATCTAATTTTTGTGCATCAATTATTTAATCAGATTAATATACTGAGTTAGGGAAATAATAATACTTAAAATAAATACATATATTTTTAAATGAATAAATTATTTTAATGATCAAAATTCATAGAATATTAAAAAATAAATATTTTTTCTAATTCCATTGAAATTGAAATTATTTAAAATTCATATTAATTAGAGCATTTAATTATTATTAATAAAAAACTATGAGAGAATTGAAATTTCAACTCCGAATAGACTCAATACCTTGGACCGCCTACGCCAATGACATAATACTATACTTTATAGTCCTGGTCGTACTCCACTCTATATTTGCGTACCGCCGCAAATGACATCATACGCTGATGACGACATGATAGCTCTCGTCTCGTAATTTTCTCTCATCTCCTAATTTATTTTTCCTCCCTTCGAGAGAAGAATATATTAAATTTTACGACCTTTCCGATGCTCACCAAGTTTGAGAAATTTTTTATGTCCGCGGCATTCGAGTGGCTTATTTTTACTTCGGTTTTATTTCCAAGAGATTACTTCACGCGGTGCTAATTTTTATTCAGCGCTGGCGGGCGTTTAGTGCAAATATATACAGGCAGCACGGAATTTGAACAGGATATGCGAGGCAGGATTGAATTCAGAGAGATGTTTTATAGCGAGTTTATTAGGCCCATTGTCTGCTCGCGCTTTTATTGATTTGCGAAGTCAGGCGCTGCTGCCAGTGACACACAACGCATATATTCGACGACGGGCCAGGATGTGCCGCCACAAACAGAGAGAGTGAGGAGGAGGGTCGCCGGCATTATCAACATGCAAATTAATTACCTTAGTATGTGCAGTGCTATAATGGAAATCCGCAGAGAGGAAAACTTTCCCGCCCTAACTGCACAAGAGTAAATTACAAGCGCCACCCTCAATTTGACTTAAGCGCGAATTTGCTAGCTTCAGATAATAATGGTTCTCCTGGGATGCATTAGTTAGATAAATTACAATTTAAGTTTTAATAGCAGTTGCTGTAATTTTTTAAGTTTTGAGAATAAAAAGCAGGATTTTCTTTTTCTCAGCTAAAACTGTTTATTTTGTGTATTTGAACTATTTACGTTTTGTGATTAAAAATAATGATACGTTTCATCTTTCCAGTTAATATACAGATAACAAATAACACGGGAGATCTGCGTTTCTGATTGCAATGACTTCATAAATATATTCAGACAGAAATCCACATTAGACTACTTTCATATTTAATGACTGGAAGCGACTGAAGCAGAGCCCCTATGCTAAAAAGCTTGGGTTTCTGAAAGCTGGATAATCAATACGTACAATATTTGGAAATAAAATAATCCTCTAGGATTTTGTGCTGAATTTAAAATATTGCCAGATCTAATAAAAACGCAAACAAGCTAATTTACCTTAAATTGATCGTCAATGGAAAATTTTATATCACTTATTCACTTGCAAATTACTGTTTTGTTATAAATTTAAAATCAAGTTTACTGGTTGGTCATAGAAAAAGTGAACCAATTCTCACAGAAATTGGTGGAAACCAGACCCAAATTAATTTATGTTCTTCCAAAATTCAATACTTGCATCCACTCATTTTTATAGTAAAATCATCTCACAGTCAATTTTGAGGATCACAATTATGGTTATGTAAAATCAGAGTCTCACTTCGCAGGCAGCGGTTCTAAGAAGTCAATTTCTAGAGCCTCTTCTAGCAAAACAGGATTCCAATCGTTGGCTTCAATGGAAGCCCTTCGACCTGAAGCAAGAGCCGAGAAGAATCCTTGCAGCTGGTGGAGAGACTGGATTGATGCTTGACGAAGCAGTGGTTCTCCTGCTGACGCATCCATCGGAGGCATTGATCCTGGGACGTGACTGTCCAAGAGTCGTGACAGCCTTACAACGTGGGGCACAAAATCAGGCCCTTGCTGACCAGGGCTAAGAAGACTCTCGTCGTAATCAGCCACAAAAGCCCAACGGTACCTTTAATTTTTTTTATAGATTATTACTTTCAATAATAAAGTCAGTATAATTATTTACATTGTGAATTGGGGAAGCATTGAAGCAGGCACCGTCAACATGAGGTCAAGCAGTTTGCACGCTGCAAGCTGGAGGGATAGCCACGCAGGATGGCCCGAGGACGGAGAAAGACCTTCGTCAAGTGCCCAAGCAGCATCCAGTCCCGACAAAAGGCGAAGTTGTGAGCTACAATGTAATATTTTAGATATCTCTGAATTGGGATCAATTAAAAATGTACTTGTTGAGACAGTTGTCCCTGAGAGGCATGGAAATGAAAAAAAAATTCATTAGAAAGAATATAAAACATGGAAACAGCTAGACTACTTTACAATGAGAATTTATAAAAAAAAGAAACATCGACTACAAAGATTAAGTAAAACAAGCACAAGGTGAAACTTTTAGCTATGATTATCTTGTTTTTTAATTTTTTGTTCTAAATCAATTTATTTTATATTCTCGTCTGGAAAACTAAACGACACAAAATAAAAATCTTAGAGAATTAGATTTAAATGAGTGATTATTGAAATAGTCCCATTACCGGTCGCCAGCTAATTGGTGTTCCATGTGCATCATGGCCTGGACAAGTTCTGATATGACCACTGGCCACAACGAGGTGACGTGGTGGGCCGACATGCGAAGCAGTAAAACTCTAAAGCAGAGAAAGACCTGGGCGTGCAAAGTCGGACCAGCTTGAGGAAGTCGAAGACAGTCAGAAAGACGTTCTTGAATGTCTGGCATTTGTCGGTGGTACTGATCACGCTCTCCGCAGAGCAGTACAAATGCTAAACGTTTCAACAACTGAGCCCTTTGCTCCCATTCTTGCTCTCGGGTTGTGAAGAGTCCACCCTATAATTTTTAATGATTTATGGTTGAAGAAAAAAAAATTAAAAAGGGATATTTATAAAGTACAAATTTGCTAATTATCACTGAAATATTAGCAAATTCATTCAGAAATCATTTGTAAAAATTTTCACATTGAAAGAAAATCTACCTGGGTTACTCCGACTCGAGCAAGCAGCTCTCTAAAAGTAGCCGCATCCATCAAACTGTCAACGATAGTGCGCCAAGAAGCCATGCACTTTGGTTCAAACTGGAAGAAGGCAGGGTCAAGTAACAATTCAAGAGCTTCACGTCTCCAAGCCCGTCGAGTGTATTGATAAACGGCAACGGCGGCCAATAACTGCGAACAAGCTCTGAAGGCAGCCACGTTCCGGACGCTGTGGTTGCGAAGGTATGGGAAGACGTGAGCCAGTACACCACCCAGTAAGGTTGCGGCGCGGTCTTTGTCCTGACTTCCAAAGGCCACGTCCAATAAGGGAGCCAGGGTTGAAGCCAAGGCAGTGAGAGCGGCCACACTGTGATCCAAGTTCTCCTCTTCTGCACGGACTGCCAAATTCCGTCGCAACCAGGTGGTCTGTTCTAATCCAGCAGCCGCCAATCCCGAGCATGTTTCCACTAACTAGAATCAAGAACAAGATAAAATTATAAGAATATTAATGAAGTCAAAATAATAGCGAGGAGCTAATATTTAATTTGTTGTTTAAGATTTACACATCCATATTTTGATTTGCTTGTTTTAAAAATGAAATATAGATTAATTTAACGAAGCCAATTTAAAATTCTCTTTATCAAATTCTGTAGAATCATACCTTAGCAACAGTGTCTTGCACAGGTTTAGCTTCCTTCTTGTCCAAAGATACTCGCTGAAGAAGGCTGCCAAGCAAATCGAGAGCCATGAATGGCGTCGGTGGCGCCAAACTGGCGCAATCTCTGAGTAGAGACAGAAGACTAGACCAGCTGTCAGCCAATTGAGACGCCGTTGCAGCTTTCTGGAGGTAGCAGTCAAGGAACTGCAGCAGACTGACTTCAATCGATTGACCCTAACAAAAGAAACCTTTCAGAATAGGATTTTTAAAGCATTAAATTATTACAAGTTGAGGGGGTTGTTTGAGAACCGCGGCAGCGGTGGCGACAAGTCGATCAAGAAGAAAAACTCTGATGCTGGAGACGAGATCAACTAATTCTTCCTGACCCTGGCCGCTGGAAGCTGCAACTGCGGCTATTGCGGCGACAAAAGCGTTGCTATGGTGAAGAGCAACTGGGCCCAAAAAGTGGGCTACCTGCTGACGAATTGAACGGGGAGATCCAAGAACATGTCCGTCAGAAACGTTTGCAACAGCTGCCCAAAGACGGACGGCGCAGGCTACAAAGCGGTGCATGTTGGCCAGAACAGATCTACGAGCTTCAGCTAAAGATTCTCCTTTTGGTGCCTCCTGCAAACAATAATTCTAGTTTTTAGAAGTATAATTGAGTCACATAGTTCAAATAAATTGTTTGCATTTTTGTTGGCAACTTTTGAAATTATACACATCAATGTCTCAGGAGCTGTAATTTCTAGATATGATTTCAATTACTGTAACTATTTTTAGTTCTAAGATCAAAATAAAAATTATAGATATCAGTAATGATAAATTAAGAAAATCTTTATGTTTTCTACTTACAACCAAAAATGTTAAATAAATCTGTAATTTATTAAAAAAAAAACTTAAAATTCACATCTAGTAAACAAAAAATACAGTTGTTACAGGAAAAAAATTTACCTGGAAAGCAACTGCTGCTGAGTCCAAAAGGCAGAAGTGCAGCAGTGCAGACAGAGCTTCAAGTTGAGTGGTCACATACTGGGCAGGCAAACAGCAGTGTTCTGGCCCCAGTTCGCCGTAAAAGCCAGCAACCCTTTCCAAGTTGGTGCAAACAAGACTGGCTGCGTTCAGCACCACATGTGGCAGCGCGGGCCCCATGTACGGAAGAGCGGACGTCAACATGGACGTCCAGCTTTGGTGCAAGTGGCCACTGTGCTCAGCCTTCAGGGCAGCACTCACAGCGGCCACAAACTTTGGTTGCTGAGGAACTGGAAGGCCAGGGACGTAGGTCAAGCGATGACCTGCTGGAGCAGTAGCACCTTCGGCCGAAGAGGTTGCTGCCCTTTTGGCCGCCTGCTCTTCGAGTACCACCAAGGCCAGGACTAGGCGAAGAAGTTGACCTTGCGAGGCCTCTTCGTGAGCAGGAGGTCGCTGAAGGCACACAGCAGATCCACCACTCAGATTAAAAATGAGAATTTCTTCTGTGAAAGCCTCCTGTTTTGGACGGTGGACAGAAGCAAGCAGGAGTGACAGGACTGTTTGTGGGAGGCGGCAACGCTGCAAAAGGTCACCAAGATACTGCCCCAGACCTCGACCACCGTCTCTAGCCAGGGAGGCCAGTTCCGTGAGGATCAGGGTTAGTAACTCAGCAGCTGCTAGTTGCACTTGTCTAGAAATAAACAATTTTTAGTACTTCTGATTTTTTTTGCTTTTTTCTAACTTAGTACCTGTTTACTGTCAGTTCAGTTTCAGTAAGTCGTGCTTGGCCCAAATTAGGATAAAAACTCCTTGTGTACCAAAGCAGAGAAGAAACAACGGCTTCAAGGAACATGCTGCTCCTTGCAGATGCCATCCATTCAGGAGCCAGCTCACCTGAAAAACTCAGGCCACTGTTTGCTGCTTGTGCGTGTCGGGCTAAAAGAGTGACAAGAGCTAAAAAAAAAATTATATGAGACCAGCACATAAAATTTTAGAAAGTTTTTATTTAAACTATACCTGGTCCTCTTCCAGAAGCCAAGGCCAACCCGGTGGAAGCAGTTGAAGACAAAAAAGAACGAGGGGCTGCTAAAAGAAGACCCCTGACAGCATCAATGGCATAAAGTACCCTTCGAGCATCGTAAACTTGGCAGTACAGGAGAAAGTGCGAGTGTAGAGGATGAATGGCACAACTAGGAGCAGGTGGGTCTTGCGCCTCTACAGCTGTAATGATGTCCTGCAGAACACCCTCTACTTCATCACCATCTGGCATCTGTATTTTTTCATTATTTTTAACAATTAAAAATTATAATTTTTGGGTAAACTCACTGGATTTACAGTAACTGAAACTTCCAGGGGCTTTTCAGCAGCACGCATTATATTGCCTTCAGTGATGCAGTGTCCGTCCTCAGAACTGATTAGTCTTGAAACGGCATAAAGTCGCCTCGCTTCAACAGGATTTGACCTGTCAGAAACGTGGTAGACCACGTGCCCATCTTGAGAAGTGACGGCTAAAATTTTTGCTGCAGAATGCTGTCTACCCAAAACTGTTGACGAATGGGAAATGTTTGCGTGTCGAAGTCCAAGTCTGGCACTTCCCGGAGCCAAAAGGACCATAAGCAAAGGTTCCAGGAGACGACCAGTGTCTCCCCTAAGGAGGGCTTGCTGCAGCCATGCTTGTGCTTGCAGACGCAGAGCACCAGGTGATCGCTTCAAATTGTCCAGCATTTTGAAGAGGCACCTTTAAAAATGATTTGATTTTTTCATCAGCATACATACTCAAATTAAAGTCTTCTGTTTTCTTTATCATTTATCACTATGAATCTAACCTGTCTAGACATCTGATGTTGGGTGTGTCAGAGGGTTCTCGACTCAGGTGCCAAAGGGTGGAAAATCGCTCAAAGGCCTCAGCAGCCTCTTGTGAGTCATGCTCTGCTGTGAGGGCTGACGTCAGAACGTCCTCGACCAGGTCACAATCTGGCAAGGCATTGTGCAGACGCAGCAGGAGGGTGGCACACTGCAGGTGGTCGGCTGGACTAGATGCTCCTAGGTCCTCCCAAAGGAGTTTGGTCGCAGTCGGGAATACAGTTGTCCGCTTTGCTACAAATTCAATCTGCTGGGGGGTCAGAGGGGGTCGAATCACAACAGCAACTGTGCCTGCACTTGTTTCCTGAAATCAACATTCATAAAATTTTAATGAATAATAGTGAAAAACAACCCATTTTTATGTTCCAAGTTCTAAAACAGTAATTGATCTTTTTCCAATATAAATAACTTTTTATTAAAAAATTTAACTTGAATTATATTATATTGAGTAAGATACTGAGAAACTCTACCTGATTTGTTGGAACAGCTTGCAAAAGGGCCAGCAAATCCAGAAGTGTAGACGCCGCTAATAAACGTAAACGCTGTGGTTTCGGCAGCCCTGCTGTGAGGACGAGAAGAGTTTGGAGCCACGAGGGTGGACGCTCAGGTGTGACTGGCATTTCCTGGGGTTGCGTGCCTAGAGTTGGAAATGAAGACAACTCGACAAGTAGCCTGCACGCTTCGGCAAAAGCCTCTTCAGGCCACTTATCCCTGGCAGACGCAAGGGGCGAGTTTATTGTCGCACGGCCAGGCCGAAGAAACCTTGCTGCCGAGGCGGATTGTCCAAGGCACTCTTGCAAGCGGGCCTCTAAGTCGTGAGGCCCATAAGCGTCTTCGTTGAGCAAGTGTTGAAAGGCAGAAGTCACGTCTGTACTTTCAGTCACGACGCGTTTGGAAACAAGTCTGTAAATAAATTAGTTTCAGTGTATCAGATACAAATTAATTTATAAAAAAAATTTAAATTACCTGACGAAAAATTCTTGGAAGTGTGCCAAGCACTCGGCTATCAATGGCGCCGGTTGTTTGACCTCATGAGTGACTTCCTCAGGCCACGTGTGCTGTCTTGTGGTCTCCTCGGTTTCTGTAAAGACGGGCAGTGATGTGGATTCCGAGGCGTTCTCTTCGTGGTTAAAAATGATCAGGGGAGCCACACTGGCGGTTGTTTCTGTGGTTGTATTAGAGGCCAACAGCGCCTCAGCCTCCAAGGAATCGCTGAGTTCGACCAAAGTTGAGTCATCGTCGTCCAACTCTTCAGATGCGGCTGAAGTCAGGTCAGGGGCAGCGTCCGTCTCACGCACTTCTGACCCAACGCTGACTTCGCTGGTTTGCTCGTCAGCGTCGTTGGTCCGTCCAATTCCGCCAGGCTGGACGCGTTCCAGAACCTCTCTGCAGAGTCGCAGACCAGCAGCCAGGTCTGCAGGTTGAAGCTGCTCGCAGTGTTTCGACAGGGCAGCCAACACCCTGAGAAAGAGGCTAGGCAGGTGCTGTGTTGGCGTGTCAGCATAGGCGTCCAACGCGACTGTCCGGAGGAGAAATAGGGTCAGGGCGCAAGCTTCTTGCACATCTGGGGAGCCAGAACCAACGCTCTTGACGGTCTCTGAAGACTCTGAAGGATTTTCAACAGCTGCTTCAAACAGGGCTCCGGCCAGACGCCAGACATGGTCGGGCTCAAGGGCTCCAAAGACCAAACTTGCGGCCTATTGAGGGAAAATTTTAAAATATTTACAACCTTCCAGCATCGGAAATTATTATTTCTGATAATATTGATAATGACCATTAAAAAATCATTGAAAAGCAATTTCTTATGTTGTGTTTTTATTATATGAGATAATCTGTAGAATTAAAATCTAAAATGAAAGAATGTATTTTTTAAGTTTCCATCTTAACAAGATAAGCTCATGGTTTGGGAAATTTTTTACCTCGATCTACATCCTTTTTTGATAAATAATGTTTGTAATTCTGCGTTATCTCAAATCCTGTTATGTTACATTACAGGCAGGAAGATGCAGGTGATACTAAAACTAGTAAACAGATAAAAAAAAGTTTAGTTGGGGAGGAAAAGACTAAATTCATGAAAAGTCTTATAATTTGCTTAATATTGGTACAATACTGACGTTAAAGTAAATGGATATTTCGCAATATTCTTATTACGGAAAACAAAAAAGAAGCTAGGAATCTAAAAAAAATATTTACTCACTTTAAGCTTATCAGGACTATCACTATGGCCATACAGTCTCCTCAGGATGTCAGGCAGTGCTTGGTCAACAATTTTCCCTCCTAACTCTGGCCGGTCCAGTAGAGACACCAAAAGTCGAAAGGGCCTGAGAAAATCTTCATCATTAGCGGCCAAGGCAGCGGTTACCGCGGCCAAAAGGTGCTTCTCAAAATCAGCTGCTAAGAGCCACGCAAAAAGGCGTCTGTTGAGGCTGGCATCCCTTCGAAGGAGAGCAGCCAAGGCTGCAGTAACAAGAGCAGCAGCCTCTTCTTTAGGAACCCTGTCCAGAGGAAGCGCGAGTAGGAGGAGGTCGAGAACTGCCCTTTGAACCAAGACACTCGAGTCCTGGAGGGCCAGGCAGAGAGATTCGGAAGGACCAATCAGGTGGCTCTGCTCCTCAAAGGGCTTGCGTCGATCAAACCTCCCCAAGACAAAGCTCACAGCTGGCAGTCTAACCTAAAATGAAATTTATTTATAAGAACATCAAAATAGCTAGCCGTAGGAATAATTAATTTTTAATGACGTTATATTGTAATGGAGCAAATGCCATGGCAATATTAAAATAAATCATATTTAAGGAGATAAAGTTTAAGCTAAAAAGTATAAAATCTTTTTGTTCTACATCATTGTGAGTTCTAATAAAATGTCAAGGTTTTTTTCTTGTATGAATTATTAATTTTAAATCAATGATTGATTTTCATTCTTACTGATGAGTGGGAGGCAAGGACATCCCAGAGGCATGCGTAAAAGGGGTCTTTGCCAACCGCATCGCACACAAGGTCTAGCAGACCTGAGGTGCGTGCAAAATGATCGGAGCCCTCTTCCAGGGCAGGCAGGAGGCCACAGAGCAGCCCTGGCAGGGCGGGCAGAAGACGGGGCCCAAGAGGGACAAAGTGGGTTTCGTAGAGGGACAAAAGCGCTGGCCTGACGGATATGGCGGCGTGAGGGAGCAAAGGGAAGAGGCCCGAGGCCCAGACGAACAGGTCGCGACTTAGGCGGGCAGTGCCCATGCACTTGAGAATCACATCGTAGCACTCGAGAGCCTTCAGGTGCACCCCGGATGGCAGGGCTGGATGCAGACATTGCGCCAAGCGCTTGCCAATTTTTATTCGCTTCGGCACGACCTAAAAATTTTAAAGCAAAATGTAATTCATAGAAAAAGCAACATTTTTTTATAAGTAAAAAATAAAACGTAGAAAGCTTTTACCTGAAATTTCGTGTGCGCTAGAAGTACTTTGGTCAGTTTGCCCAGGGAGGAGATTAAGTCGGCCCATTCTGACGTGAACTCAAAGGATTTGAGCGCCTTATCAACAGCCGCCGTGTAACTGAAACATAAAGCAGATTGAATAAATTTTGCTCTCAATTAAGGGCAATCAAATGTCAAAAAGTGACAGGTCAAGACTCTCGACGAAATTATGTACGCAAAGGGAAGTGTGCTGACCTGCGATATTTCGGGTCCTTGGACATCAACTGGAACTCTTCCTCCACGCTGGCACTCATTTTGTTCAGCTCATATCTTTGCAAAGTCCAAAATTTCCTTGTTTTCCTGATCAAATCGAGACTCTCTACGTTCCGTGTCAAACATCGCAACTTGCACAGCTGGTGTTTCGGTTTTCGGTTGAAATAATTTATCCATACCGGTAATTTCTCCAGGAATAAACCGGTAATCGGTTTGTTTACGTTTTTGTTAATTTGTTTACCAACGAAAGACGAAAGTTTTTGGGATTTTGGAAATCCTCTCGCTAGAACTAGAAAGCTTTGATAAAATTGGAGCAAGAGTTAAGATTTTGATTTGGGAATAAGCTACTTAAAATGTCAGCTTATTCGGTGAATATATCGGTGGAGGCGCCGATTGAAAACCAGATCCAGGAAATCACTTACGATGGCCAAGAAATTTACCAAGCGTATGAATCAACAAGCCGGCAATGTATTTAAAAAAATTAATGTTGTAATTTAAATTTCAGGCCCCCGACAATGTCGGAACATTTGACGAAATTAGCACAGAAAATCGACTTTGCCAAAACGGGCCCTGAAGATCTGAACAAGGACATCGCGGAAATTGATAAAAATGAAGAGGAGGGTGACCAGTCAAAGGCACCACCATTGTGGCCATGGGATTCTGTTAGAAACAAGCTAAGGTACATACATAATTATGACCTATTTTTATTTTTAAAAATAAAACATTTTTTATTTGTCCGAAGTAATAATTTGTATTTTTTTGCTTTTATTAGAAATGCTCTAACGGAAGCATCCGTCCTTGCTGACGTCCTAACCATTGCTAAGGAGCGGCATTACATGGTCCTAGACCCAGTGCCTCAGGATCCACCTGAGCAGAAGCAAATGGTTCAGGTGTATGCAAGGAAAAAGGCTCTTGGAGGCGCAGCGTCTGTTCTCTTGTCGGGTGCCGACCGTTTGAAAAATTCACAGGCTGAAGCCCTGAGGAACAGAACAAGTACTCCTGATTTCCACGTCGAGTTGCTCAGATTGAGACAAAACTTCCGGCTTAAAAAGGTGTCCAACACCATCATCGGAGACTTGAGTTATAGGACTGGTAATCTAAAAGTCTAATATTTAGTACAATAATTAATTATTCCTGAACAGCTGGATCGAAATTCGCTCAAAACGGAACTTTCGAAGTGACCAAAGCTGAAGACGACCCCGAGAACCCTTTGAGTCCACCGTGTTCCCCAAACGCTAGTGCTCCAAGCAAGGCAGTTTCGGCTCTACGAGTCACTGTCCCAAGTGAACTCCAGGGAGTTGCTTTTATCAAAGTTTACTTCCAAAAAGGTACACATTTATTTGACTGTATTTTTTTTTTCAATCTTTCAAAAAAATGTTAACAGACCAAGAGACTTTGTGTTCTAACAAGCTGAACATGCCAGCTCCAAGCACAGCAAACGCTATACCTGACATGTACTGGCAACCAAAACTTGAAGCTGCTCAAAATGTTCTTTTCTGCAAAGAGCTTTTCAACCAGCTTGCAAAAGATGCCGTGCAGATCCAGTCACCCATTCCTCATATGGTCGTTGGCAATCAAATCATTGCTTCGGTAATATTTATTTATTTATTTATTAATTTATTTTTTAAACTATTCAAAATGATTTTACTTGGGAATCTAATTATTACTCAAAAAATTCATTCTTCTCTTTAGGTTCTTCCTGGTGTACAATTAGTAATTGGATTGTGTCACAGTGGTGTTGCAACTGATGGCAAAACGACAGCACCCCCTCCTCAAAGCAACGGGCACGATCATGTCCTCGAACACACCTTGCACCAGTTGCTTCGAGAGCTGCACCACAAGAATACTCACCACCCATTCCCTCATCCTTCCTCTGGACCCATTGGCCCAAGCAAAAGACGTTGTTTGGCTGGGCCCTGTGCTTCAGACAGATACGAGCTTCTGCAGATGACTCAAACGCAAACCATGCTTGAACAAGTATGCATTTTATTATTATTATTTTCTTTCATTTTATTCAAAGCTATTTTTCCCTCAGGTTATTCAACAAGCTCAGCACATCAACATTAGGGACAGGACATTGTGCGTTCTGGACAGACTAGCAAAGGAGTTTAAAGACCCACTTATCACATCACACTGGAATGCACTCAATTCGCCTACCCAGTCCTGCGTCAAAATCAATATCGTTGCTCATGGCTATGACACGATTTGTAGGACGTCTCTGCTGCTTCGAGTTGGAGAAAAGGCAATCAAGTGCATCACAAGGGACGGACGAGTTGTCCATATGTCCTATGAGTCGCAAGAGCTCAGAGATTTTATTCTTTGCCAGGTTAAAATTTCCAAAAATAGTTAATACGCGTCAGAAATAAAGTATAAAATTCTCTAGGTTTATCAACATCAAATCACTGCTGTACAAAATCTAGCAAAGTGTATGGGATGGCAATGCCTGGCAAACAGTTCTCAGCTTGGAATAGGGTCAGTGGAGCCCCTTGGAAATGCTAGCAGTTGTATTCTGGCATCGCCAACTGGAGAGAGGTACCTCACAACATATACAAATTTATTTGTTAAGTATTTTTATTTTAGGTTGATATCGGTTCGTTGTGAGCCAAAATCAGGAGTGCAAGTTGCAATCGCGCAATCCCCGAGAAAAGATTTCTTCCCAGGGCAGTTAGTCAAAGAGCGGAAGTGGGAAAATCTCGGCGGAAGTTACAAAGAAGTAAGATGGGATAAAATGGAAGGGAAAAATTTCCTTAACAAAATGGAATTATTGATGGCAAGCTTGACAAGTTCTTAATTATTCCATAAAACATAAAATTTATGTTGTGTATAATAGATAATAAATAATTTTGAATTTATCGCCATAACTTCTTTATTTTCATTTTGTGAAGCTACAATGTTCATTTTAACAAATTTGAAATAGACAGACAGTTTTACATGAAGTACTGAATGGAAAACTTAACAAAATAAACTTGAAAAAGGAAAATAAATACAAAACCCCCAACACCAATAATAAAGGGTAAACATTTAGTCATTTACACTAAAAAAATACCAAGATACACTCGTGAAAGTTGAATGAATGTTATAAATTCGTGCCACGATAAAAAGTGCAAAAACACTCTAAACAAATCTTAATATAAACCTTGAAATGAATACTGTGAAAGAAAGTTAGGCACTACCATGATATGCTGTGCGATTTGTCTCATGTAATCAGGTGATAGTTTTGAGCACAGAGCGAGCGGAGCAAAGAAAGAATTAAAAGTAACAAGTCAAGTTACTATTTTTCTAGCTAAATATATACCAGCAGTGCTCTAGAATTAATAAGGTGTTGCTAAGTCAAACATTTAATATCATAGCTAATCAGCCATTCTCAAAGGAGCACTTTTCACATCACTGAAATGTGATCATGCACTTTGTGATATTATTTTTATATTAAATCTTTCTTGGTCTTAGAAGTGAAACATTTTAATTGTTTGTCTTTCACATCCACTAATTCAAAATTTGATTATGATTTATAAATCTAGATTGAAGTTGTTGCCTGAAATTTGTTTTTTGGAACAACCAGTTTAGTCAGAACCCTGTTTCATATCCCCTTATATGGCCATATCACAGTTACAGTAATTGGAAAATGTCACAAACTCAAAAAGAGTTCCCATCCCAAGTGTCACTATGGCAAGTGCACACTTCTTTGTCGGCAGTAAATTCAACAGGAAAACAACGAAAATTATATTATCGACGCACTAATTAATGCCATGGTGAGGGGATTTCCTTGAATACCCATTGCTGGTAGGTGTTGATGGGATCACAGGGCATCAATGACAGGTTGTTCGATTGAGGGTGCAGAGCAATGCACTTACGCATTTCTCGATGCATTAGAGTTTTATCAGCCTAAAATTTTTTTTAAGAAAAATTTTTTTCAAAGAAATTATTCTAATAAAAAATCTAGAGAAATACTGACCTCGTCATAGTGCCAGGGTCCATCGACACTGCCTAATGGACAGAAAACTAGCTTGATGCCTTGTCGGTCGGCATCAACACACCTTTCACCCACTCCGATTTGTCCTTTAGCATTCAACCTCATGAGCTATAAGAGAAATTATTAATTTCAAGTAGAAAAATTAATTTTTGGTTTAATCTCCATTTCAAACACATCGTCCAGAGAAAAATTAGAAGCAAATCAGCCAAAATATTTGGATACATTTTACAAGTGCAGTTTAAACACAATTAGCAATGAGTTATACTGTATTAAACCAAAAGAATGTCATTAGTTCACAAACTGTTAGTTTAAGCTTAGATTGCATTGTTTCATGACTCACCTGTTGTTCATATTCATCCTACAAAAACAAAAAAATACCAAAGTTTGTTTTTATAATACTTAGAGAAGAAAATATGCTATTGCATTATTCAAAAACTCATTGCTGAATAGTGTTTTTAAAATTAAATGAAAAAATCTAAAATTACTTGATTATTTCCCCAGCCATGGCAAGTTGAAACACCCATCAGGGTGGGTGCTGCGTGTCCCATGGTGTCCATGCACTCTTTCGTAGCCTTGTTAATCAACTGAAAATTAGTTTAATTTGCTGTAGAGAAACCAGACACTTTAAAAAGCAGAAAACAAACCTCGCCCCAGTGAATGTTAGGTGGCAATTCAGGGTACTTTTCTCTCATGTCATATGCTACATTGTCCATGTACCATTGGAAACTTTTGCACTGCAGCCTCTCTTTAAGTTCCAGCTGCTCTGATATGTCTCCCATGTCAAGGTAACGTGCTAACGGCTCACGAGTGTAGAAGTACTCTTTGAACTTTTCATCAAACCACACTTCAATCACTCGCTTGTAATTCTAGAAAAGAAATTCAATAATTTCTAATTTACAAATTTTTAAATAACTTACTATGGTAATAAGTGGTCCCTTTTTCTTCTCAGCAAGCTTGCCAAAGTTGTAAGGCATGAAACTGCGATAGACATGCCCAACTCGGGAGCAAGGAACCCACTCAATACTGCCACCACATTGCCATATCTAACAAGACAAAATTAATTAAGAAATTTTTTTACAATAATTAAGTAATACTTTAAAGGAAAGCTCAAAGTTTTCTCCACCCCAAACAAGAAGACCTGGATCGTAAGCACCAATTTGGAGAAAGTAATTTCTATTAATGGCAAACAATCCTCCAGCATGAGTCGGTGATCTAAATAAATTTTGATGAAATTAAGAAATTTTGTAACTTTTAAATAAAAACCCACCGATATGGCATGCTGTTGTGGCTTCGACGCTGAACTTCTTGATCAGGCAACTCGTTTTCTTTGTACAACATTCCCCACTCAAAAATGCCCCTGAAATGCTGCCCCTCTTGGTAAACTGGACGATATTCAAAATGATCGTGGTCAACGCCATCAATGACTGGAACGGTCATTGCAGTCCTAAATTTTGAAAAATATATAAGAGTGATTTTGATTTATTTTATTTTTCAACCTGTTGTAGTAAATGGGAGCAAGAAGAGGAGGAATCCAGTTAGTTCCAACCTCACAGTGGGCGTCAAGGAATATTACTACTTCTCCTCTTGCTTCTTCAGCACCTCTTACTCTTGTTCGAATCAAACCTTCTCTCTCAGAGTTGCGAATCAGTCGGACTTTTCCATTAAACCTTTGAATATAATTTTCCAGCTTGCTTTTTAAGTTTTCTAAGCAGAAAATAATTAATTTTCCAGTCAAAAAATCAAATAATTTAGAGACCCTTGTCACTGTAGTCGTCAACAAGGAGGACTTCTTCCAAAAACTGGGGTGGAGTTCTGTTGATGACAGAATGGACAGTTCGCAAAAGGGTTGACCACCCCTCATTGTGAAATACGAGGACCACACTTGCTCTTGGCAAATCTTCAGGGTAGTTCCAGTACTTGCACCTGTCATTCACCAAGGATTAGATTCCGCTATCAAATTATTTTCGTCAATTTTCACAAGTGCCAACTCTCATGACAATTTTAGGGTATGTGTGCTACCAATCAATTCATAATTTTATCTTATCTCACAAGCACCTTGATTGTGATCTATTAATGTAGTATGAATAAAAAAGTCTCACTCGTCCATCCTCAAATCGGGGATTGTCCTGTCCAAAGAAATTTCATCCGAGCAAGCCATATTCATGCCATATGCCGACAGAGAAGTAGCGGCTTCATTCTCCTGGCTTTTCTTCAAATAATGAGCTTTTCCTCCCTCGCCGGGGCCTTCCCTTTCAATTATTTCCTTTGGCTCAAAATTTCCAAGCTTTCCAGGAGTTATCCATGGTTTCTGTTGAACATACAATAAATGTGATCAAAGGAGTGTTTAATAAAAAATTAAAATGTGATAAATTAATATTGTGCATTAAATTATGTATGCATTTTAAGGTATATTAGGTTACTCAAATAAAAAGGATAAATTTTATAATTATTAGTTTTTATTTCCAAAGATAAAATTTGCTGCTGGTTTCATACAAAATTAATTTTTGTATAAATAATTTTATGTGAATAATGTGATAGAAACGAAATATTCATAACTTTGGAAAAAGGGGGCAATATTTGTAGCATAAACGAAATTATTAAGGCCACGTATTGAATATGAATTTTTGATTGTTTTTTAATTATTTAATAATTTAAACCTTTTTGATAGCTGTCGTCGAATGCGTAGATTTGCTGTTGCTGGACAGTAGCACGTAAAGGAAAAGTATGATGAAGAATGCTATCAAAGCGTAGCGCAGGATACGTTTGTTGAATCTGATGGCCGACATGGTCCACGTTCAATTTCTCGTGAAACTATTGATAAATTCACTTGGAAGATATGTCTTGAGTGGAGAATTGCATGCAGCTACAGCTAGTCGAACACCTCATCTGATTACGAGGACGCAACAGTGGACAGCAAACTAAACCACGAAACCCCGGCGCGGACGTGTCACCTATCGTCACTTTTGCTATGTTTACATTTATTTCAATTCAAAGGGGAAAGATTTTTAGAATTTTGATGCGGCAGGAGTGGGGACTTTTGGCTCGCTCTTTCAAAAACCAATGACGCCAACAAAACAGTAACAAAATTTATAAATATTTTGCTTGGGCTTCCTTTTTTATTTGCTTTTAGGAATTTCATTTTTTTTTTAATTTTTAAAACTTAAAAGTATATGATCTGAATAAAAAAAATCATCTTCATAGAGAGAAAATGGCATGTCACTAGACGATAAGACACCACGACTAAATGTTAAATATTCACTAGGTGGCAGCAATGATTCGTCTGTGACGTCATTATCATTCTGTTCTGTTTCCCAAACCAATGGAGTTTTCGGCTCTCAATGCCAAGTCTTGAAATTTAATCTAAATCAATTAAAATCACTCAATAAAAAGAGCATCAGTCAAAATTTAATAAGTTATTTCAATCTAAACATACCAAAGTATTGGCCTTTGAAATTTAATAACATAAAGAAAAGAAATTTGGACAAGATCGCGACGTCTGAAAATTCGGCTCCGAATGTCCGCAATGATGGAATTCACCTTGTAGTTCTGGAAGGTTCATCGCTGTTGTGCATTTTACTAGGTGAGTGCCTTTATTCAACGTTAATTAACCCTTTCTAACAATTCTTCTTTCTTCCTGTAACTGGAAGGGCTTTTTAACGGGTTAAAAGCACTATTTTTATGGCGTCGCGTAGTTACTCTAGACGTTTTGTTTACAACCGACCTACCCCGTAACTCTTGAAGCAATCAAACAAAATTGATTGGAATCCTGAACCTCTCTCAATCATCATTGATTCCAAGCTTTTAAAATTTTCGTAGTCTTCCAAATCGGCTCATTATTTATTCAACAACGGGAGTGAAAATTATTTCGTCCTGCGTGACGTCACAGAGTACACACCGATCAATTTTATTGTCACTCTTGGTAAAACAAACCGTTATCATTTCCCTCAGTCTTTTAAAGTTTATTTAACCCGAATTTGACTGGATCAATAATTTGCAGATATTGCAATTCAAAATGAGGCGAATTTTGACTAATCTAGGTGACTATGATCAATTTAATCTAATAGCCGACATTGCGCGATACCGGCTCGCTGAGTATGACTTATCGAACGCCTGTTTTTTTCCAGCCGATTGCCCCGAGCCATGCCCAGCAACCGAGATGAAAACAAAAATGGTAAAATAATAAGCATCAGGAACGATTCCAGTCCTCGCAGAAAGCACCCAAAGAAGAGGAGAAAGGGCCGCAGGAAAAGGGGCGGCAAGGGCGGAGAAGTCGATGTTGCTAGAGGGCCGCTTGTCGAGTACTCCGACGTCAGTTCGCAAGACCTTTCAGGTCCTGAGGCTGGCGAAATTCAGAGTGACGATTCAATCAGTCTGAGCGACGGCGAAGTCAATTCGCCCCCGCCTGTGCCCTTCACGAAAAAACACGTCGATCCTGCTGAACCGCCGCCGCCTAGACACAGGTCGCCCCCAGACATGCCCAGGCACAGGTCGCCGGTCGAACCTGCGCGGCACAGGTCACCAGTTGAACCTGCACGGCACAGGTCGCCAGTTGAGCCTCCAAGACACAGATCCCCAGTGGAAGCGCCGAGACATAGGTCCCCAGTCGAAGTGCCTAGACACAGGTCACCAGTAGAGGCACCTCCTCGCCATCGGTCCCCTGTGGATTCCCATTCAAGGTACAAATGATGGGAAAATTCTTGTTAAATTATTTCTCTGTTATTTACATCTGTCTAAGTATTATTTTATCCTTCAGATAATTGTAAAGGTGCATGTGTTTTTTCTAATGAGTGTAGTGTCTTTGTTTATGTTGTAAAGTGTAAAGCAGTTTCAGGGTTTAATTTTCAAGAGGTTTTTACGTGGTTTTACTGAAACTGTGCTAGAAAAACTTGGCAAACTAGGGCAAACAGAGCTACATAACTGACCTGGAAGTTTTTCTCACACAGTTTCAGTAAAACCATGTAAAAACCTCTTAAAAATTATTATTTTATCTTTGCTATTTGGGCCTTCAATTCCATTTTTTTATTTTTAACAAAAGATCAACTTAATAATATTATTATATTACTAAAATTAGAAGAAATAGGTACTCCACCACACCTTGATTTTGTTTTAAAAATATAATATAAGGCTTCAATGTTTTTGTCTTCTCAAAATCAGATTAATTTCATATTTTTATGAAATGTGAGATGAACTTTTGGAACATTTTAATCAGTTTCTGATCTCTCTGATACTATCGCAGTAGAGTTAATTAGCAGTTTTGTCTGGAACCTTCCCATTATTGAATGATGAATTGATATGCTCAAATCTGTTCTTTTTCAGAAGCTCCAGGTCTTCACCGTCAAGGTCAAGACACAGGGAAAGGTCTCCGCCACACAAACGACCACCATCACCAGGAAAGTACAGCAAGCACAGTAGTCCGAGCAGAAGAGCAACTCCTCCACTGAAGCCCTCCTCACCCCCTCCGTCCCCCATGCAGCTGCTGAGGAATGCGATTCGCAGTCAACAGCGAAGTTCGTCTTCAGAGTATCGCAGGCCCAGAGACGAAAGGAGGCGAGACAAGAAAAGGCATAAGAAAGAGAGGAAAAGGACTCATTCCCGAAGCCCTAGTAGACGGAAAAAGAAGAGGAGGAGGTACAGCCGGAGTCCTGGATCACCAGACAGTCCTCCTCGACACAAGGCTGGCGGAAGTCAGTGGCCAGAAGGGCCGATGTCCCCGCCTGATGATGCACCTCGAAGTCCTTTAGATAGGTAAATATAGTGTTCAAAAATTCATTGCAGGTGGTAGTTTTTCTGCAGTTTTTCTTTGATCCTATCTTGCCTTGTCTGCTGTATAATTACAATTTTTACTGGATTTCTTATTGAAATTTCTAAATTCTACAATTTTTAAACCACAATTGATAAAATGCAAATTCTTTTAACATAAAGAACGCTAAACAAATTATAATATTATGTCAGCAATTTATTTTTGTTTATTTGTCCAAAAGAAGTGCACTATAAGGATAAAGAAGATTGCCATGTAAATTTTGCAACCTAATATAGTATATCAAAGATATGATTCAATTATTATGGTGTTGGCTACAAGCATGTTTTTATTTGTTTTTAAATAGGCAACCCAAATCAACAGAGGTTGCCTCTAGTCAATCTGCATGTCCCCCTCGTCCTGCTTCTAATTCCCAAAAAGCTCGAAAATACACAAATGGTAGGCGGAAAACTCGCTCCAGGTCTCCTAGGTAATAGCTTTTTTTATAATTTCATCTTCTTTAAAAAAGAAAAATAAATAAATAAAATTAACGTGAACAAAGAAATAAATTTATGAATTATTATCTTTAGACCTCGCAGAATCAGGAGTCGATCGCGCAGTCCTCCCCGGAGGAGGTCTCGGTCACCTCCTCTAAGAGGTCACAGAACGCCTCCTGTTGGGCCAAGGTCTCCTCCACCGCGCAAAACTCCACCCAGAGGCTATTCTCCCAGACGGTCGCCATCTCGAAGAGGGACGCCTCAGGCGCGGACACCTCCACGTTCGCCACGGAGGTCACCTCGAAGAAACAGTATTTCTCCTGGACGAGGGCCAGTTTCACCTAACGGGAGACGGAGGTCAGTTAAAAATAAAAATGTACCTATAGAGAAAATTATCATTATTTTATCAATCTATATTCTTTTACAATGCAATTTAATACCAGTAAAATCTTCATATAAATAATTAAAGTAATTTATAAATAACATTTCTTTAGATATTTGAAAATTTGAAAAATTTTAGCAGGTATTCAAGATCACCCAGCTATGGCAGATCAAGTAATCGGAGAGCATCACCACGTCAGAGGAAAAGGTCCAAGTCACCAGGAGCAAAAGTACTTAGTGAGCAAGTCAACGTAAGCAGCACCAGCCTCTTTGCCGAATTGCTGAAGGATAGGAAGAACCGTGAAAAGGCAATGAAGTTGGCTGTGCTGAAGGATATCAAGGAGGAAGGCGAGAAGCCTGCAGGCGAAAAGTCGAGCGTCAGTGAGGACATCAATTGCATTCCTGTACCATCTGACAATGGGCCGAACACTGCACCACCAGTACCGGCACCTCCTCCAGACCAGGTATGAGACTTCTCAAATCCATTAACTAAACATTAAATTTAAATTTGTTTTGCGTCTGTCTGAATGGGGTAAATACTAAACCAATATACCACATCTATATGGACGCACAGCAAATTGCTGCTTTTAATTGCTCCAAAAGTTGGTTTACAAAATTTCTCCTGTGCACTTTCAGGTTGATGCAACTGCCCCTACAACCCTTCCAACCCGTCGACCAGTTTCAATCAAACTGCACACTCCAAGAAACTTAAGCCTCACAAAGCTTCCAATGCCCCCTGGCATGAACCAGAATGACTTCCTGAACAGCACTTCTCCTGCAAGTGGAGGCGATTCCCCCTCTCCCGAACCTAGCATGTCGACGAAGAAGCTTGGTCAGGTGCGGAGGAGCATAAAAGACCTGCCGATGCCTCCTGGAGAGGGTGATGATGATGACGCATCTTCGCCTGCAAGATTGGCTCTCAGAGCAAAGCTCAAGCTCAAGCGCCCAAAGATCATTGGCAGAAATATGGATGACTTAGGACCAATGGCGCCAGGTGGCAAAGACTGGGGAGAGAGATGTGTGGACGTATTTGAGGTTATCGACCAGATTGGCGAGGGCACATACGGCCAAGTGTATAAAGCAAAGGATAACATTTCTGGTTTGTATTCTTACGATGTTTTAGTTCGTATTATATTATGTGGCAATCTACCTATAGGTGACATGGTTGCATTGAAGAAAGTTAGGTTAGAAAACGAAAAAGAAGGCTTCCCAATTACGGCAGTTAGAGAAATTAAAATCTTGAGGCAACTCAACCATCCAAACATTGTGAATTTGCGGGAAATCGTGACTGATAAACAAGATGCATTAGATTTCAAAAAGGTAATGTGAAAATTTAAAATTTTGTCAAATGTAGAAGTACTAAAGTTTCCTCCCCTCTAGGACAAAGGTTCTTTTTATCTTGTGTTCGAGTACATGGACCATGACCTGATGGGTTTGCTGGAGTCGGGCATGGTTGACTTCAACGAAATTCTCAATGCCAGCATAATGAAGCAGTTGCTGGATGGGCTCAATTACTGCCATGGCAAAAATTTCCTCCACAGAGACATTAAGTGCAGCAACATTTTAATGAACAATAAGTACGCCTGCCTCTTTGTCTTTTGAGCTTGTAGCTGAACGTGTATTTCTCAGGGGCCAAGTGAAATTGGCTGACTTTGGTTTAGCCCGACTGTACAATGCAGAGGACAGTCAGCGGCCCTACACAAACAAAGTGATAACCCTGTGGTATCGTCCTCCGGAGCTCTTGCTTGGGGAGGAGAGGTACGGGCCAGCCATCGACGTGTGGAGTTGCGGATGCATTTTAGGAGAGCTTTTTTCTAAGAAACCACTATTCCAGGTATTTTGGAAAATCTTTTTAACCACTTTTTTATTTACAAATTAATGACATTTTCTAGGCCAACACTGAAATCATGCAGCTTGAAACCATATCTAGGCTGTGTGGTACCCCAATGCCTGCAGTGTGGCCCTCAATAACTAGACTGCCCCAATTCAACACATTCAAGCCTAAAAAAATATACCGCCGTCGGCTCAGAGAAGAGTTCATGTTCATGCCAGCAGGTGCTCTTGAGCTGCTTGACAGTATGCTGTGTCTTGACCCAAACAAACGAATCACTGCAGAGAATGCCCTCAAATGCAGTTGGTTAGTGAAGTACGATCAGCAGCAGATGAGGTATGTTTTTTTTTCATGTATACAATTGTTTTCAAATAGATTGATTTCAAACTCCTTCAAATCAATTTATTATATAATTTTATTGCTCTCTAATTTAATTAAGATCAGACAATATTACAAAAGTCAAGCTTATTATTTTTGTTTTGCAGATTACCCCCTCCCCAATTGCCTACCTGGCAAGACTGTCACGAGTTGTGGAGCAAGAAACGACGGCGGCAGTTGCGTGAACAGGAGTCGCTGGCCCACCTTCCTCCTGGCAAACCGAGAGACAAGCAAAATGACGATCCTTCCGGAGGGTAAGTCTCAGGACTCGATATTGCATGCAGTTACAATTTTAAAGTTACTTTTTATTAAAATTGTCAATCAAACGCATGTGTCTCCTCTGGTCGGAACTTGTATCGATTAGTTGTTGAAACTTTTTGTTCTGGTCTCTTGTAACTGTACACGGAGGGTGAGAGACACAGGTGCTCATTGCTCTTCCTGAGAACACAATCTACATTAAATAATATTAATATTTCAAGTTTTCACTTCTGAGCCCGACTGACTGAATGAAAGAAGGGTCGGCTGCTCTGTCCTAATAATCCCCCATGTTTTGTAAGAATCATTGTGATCATTGTTATTGTTGTCAAGATTAAAAGCTCATGCATAAATTGTTACATTTGGAAATCGTTCACCCAAAACGCTGTGCCTCACTCATAATCACCTGATTTGTAGAATCAATAAACGCAAATATTTGATTTGATTTATTTTCTCTTTATTTCATTTCTGCACTCTTATTTTTTAGTCGATTGGCATGGATTTTAAATTTTTTTTTCATTTATTTACTGAGATTTAATTACTTCCCAAAGTTAATTAGGAATTGGGGATTGTAGGCTAGTAGTTTAGACAGATAACAAAAATGGTGTCAGGCTCAGGGCAATCGTAGATGATGCGCTTTCAGTTTTTGGGCAAGATTTATAACCTTCTTTTTGGCTGCCAACTGCCAACGCATCTAAGTTAATGCTTCTTTATATTTTAAAATCTTAAATCGTTAAAATTAGAGTAACAGTTGAATGGCCACTAGTTCAAAATAGGCTCATACTGACCAGGGTTGGTGTGTTTATTTCAAAATAGCTCATCAAAAGCATTGAAGAAAGAAGCGGGATTTGCCTTGGGTGGTGGATCACAGCCAACGTCTGGGTCGAACTCGCCCATCAGTAGGGACACCATAAAAAAACTGGTGCTCGTCGCTCAGAATCTGGCTTCCGGTAAACCAGTCACAATGAGACAGCTGCTCAGTTTGAACATAGAAGACGTAAGAATATTGAAAATTTAGAAATAGGAAATTTAAATTATATCTTGATGCCATTTCAGATTGATCAGAATTGCAAGCAGTTTTTGGACTCGATGCACAGAGAAATCCTTGCCGCTGTCAGTTCTTATAACCAACATGTAGAGAATGACTTCCCTATTTTCAACGATCCTAAAAGTAAGAAAAATATTTCTTGACCCTGATTATAAACCCTAAATTTTTGAATTCCAGGAGAAATGAAAACTGAGACATTCAACGCACACGCTGCCTACTCTGGAGATAACGCCTCGGCAACCTTCACAGCCCAGACGTTTTCTCATTCTGTCCTGGCCACTGAAGGGGTCAAGAGTACCCTGCACGAGCTGCTGCGGCGCCACATGCTGCCTACAGCTGGCATCTTCCCTCCTGCCGAACTCTCGAACAGTGCTGTGAAAAACGAATCTCCAAGTCCGATGGGCGGCACCTCCCGACCCTTCCAAAGAGGAGGCAACCAGGTCCCTGTTGGACTACCAGCGCACTTCCCGTCTTATCCACCAACTGCGGGCACTTCTTGGCACACTTCAGCCAGGTGAATCAAATGAAATTTTTGTTGAAATCTAATTTATTTTGCATTCTTGTAATTTCACGTATTTCCAATCTTGAGGACAAGTTCTAAATTTTATATTGAAAGTGCCTGAAACCAACTGCATTTTTTGTGAATTGTGCCCGTATCCTATGTTCAGCCCCAAACATGCCACTTTGTTGCAGTGCTTTTATCTCTTATGACATGAGTTTACTTCAAAAGGAGCATGTCAATCTTTTTTTGTGGAAATTGATGTATACATAAATTGAAATAGATAGAAAAAAGATATTATCAAACTTTGGCTTTCATTTACTTCAAACTTCATAACTTATATTTATTTACAATTGACACACAAAATTTTTTCAATAAATAAGCTTCAAACTTAGTAAATCATTTCAATTACTTCAGCATCAAAAAATTAAGCCTGCATATCTACAATGACAGAGTGATTTTCACCTATGTGCGCCTCGACTTCTTTTCTCTTGTTGCTCGAGAACTCGCACTCGCTACAGTGGTACAAATTAATTCCAGTGTGTCTGGTTGCGTGCCTCACCAAGTCTCCTTTCCATCTAAATCGAGAGTTGCAATGCTCACATATAAACCTCTTCACACCAGAGTGCACCTTCTGGTGCTCACCAAGCGTTCTCTTCCTTTTGAATCCTTTTCCGCATGTTGTGCAGATGAAGGGTTTGATGTTCGAGTGTGCCGGCATGTGCTCTTTCAATTTGAAAACGGTCATAAAGGACATCTGGCAGATCTCGCATTCAAATTTTGTGCTATGAACCTGTAATCAAAATTAATGTGAATTAAGACACTTCCGTATAATGATAGATTGAACTTCATTTTAGGTAGATTTAATTCAATTTCTCATCATCTCTTCGCGAAAAATTTTATCAAATAAAATTGCAATTGACAAAATCTTATCAAAAATCATTACTAATGAAAAAAAAGAGTTGTTAAAGGTTCCCTATTAATTAAATGAACCTAAAGCAATCAACATAATTGAAATAAAATAAAATAAACGAACACGCATAAAATTTCTGCAAGTAGAAGTCCTTCCAACTTACACTTGCCAAATGTTGGTTTCGGTTGTTGAAAACAGCAAAGGTCATTGGACACTTGGAGCAAGGGTACTTGTGAGCCTCAGGGTGCCTCTCAAGGTGCTCGTTCAGATCTAAAAGGGAGCTGTAGCACTCCAGGCAGTGGTTGCACGTAAAAATCGCCTCGCCAGCCATCAGCTCGACACCATGCTCCTGGCTGACATGCGAACTGTACTCGAGTGGTCTGGTGAAATTTGTTTTGCAGACCGAGCACAAGTATGGTGGAATTTGAGTTTTTGACACTCTTTGACCACGCTTCTTCCGTTTTGTGTACAAATTTAGTTCCGCTCTTGTGTGGCTTGTGCTGTGTACGAGCAAGTCCTAAATTATTAAGACGGAGTTAGTAAAGTTCAAACATAAATTAATGTGGCTGTCTAAAGCTAACAATTCCTAATTACCTGAAAATCTCCACACTTGAACGAACAGTCTGAGACGGGGCAGAAATAGGCGTTCAGATCTGTACTGAAATGGACTTTGTGGTGGTGCATCATGTAATAGCGGTCGTTGCTCTGGTAGTTGCAAATATCACACTTCAACTGATCAGTCAGGGCTTCGGTGTGGATTTTTCTGTGGCTAAGCAGATTGGACTTTCTATTGAAGACGGTGTCACAAATGTCACAGGTGAACTTCATGTTTGAGTGCACACTGGAATGCTGATTCAGTTGTGAACTGCTGCCAAATGTCTGCAATTTTTATAAACAGCAATAAGAAAGAGATGGGAAACATTTCAATTTTAGTTCCAAAAGTATAAAAAAAGTCAAGAACCTGACTGCTAACAACAAATTTCAACCCACCTGTTGGCAGATCAAGCATTTGAAGCGCTCGTGATTATTGTGAACTGCAAAGTGGTTCGACCAGTCTTTCTTGGTCACCTGGACTAAGCAAATATCGCACTGAATCTTGATGGTGCGCGCTCTTTTGTTCCTCAGATGCGCCTTCAGACTATAAGTGGTAGGAAACTTTTTGCCACACTCCTCGCACTCGTGACTGAACTCGGCAGCGTCCGTCAAAATGTACTTTCGAATGATGTGGTCTCGGAGCAGGGCCTTGTTTTTGAAGCCGCGATTGCAGTTGTCGCAGTGGAATGAGTACTCGGCAGGAATGTTCACATGAATAGGCAAACTCTCCTCTAGTGGGTTGCCTAACTCAAACGGCTGCGTTTCGGGAACAAAGACGGCCACGTCCAAGGCGTCTTCCTTTCTCCCACCAAAGAGAGGTGGAATTATTAAGGACTTGTTCTCCAACTCGGACAGGCCTAGGGACGGATCGCCACCATCAGCAGAATTAATCGGGGTGCTTGGAATGTTCAACCTCTTTCCACTTAGAATTTTAGAAGTACTTTTCACAGGAATCTGTTGTTTAAAAAATAATAATAATAAAATGCATACCTAAAAAATTGCGAATTAAATATCTTACTTGTGCTGGAGCTTCCTGGATCCTTTTTGACTGTGTAGGAGACAATTTAATAATTGGGGGCAAGACTGACTTCGGTTTTTTCGGAGGTGGAGGATTTATGACGGTCAGCTCAGATGTCTTGGCAGGCTGCATCAGGGGCAGACTGATTTTTGGCAGCAATTGACGTTTTTTAGTTTTTTTGGTGATTTCCACCTCATTGTAAAAAACTGACTCCATCGGATCAAGGGTTGGAATAATAAGAGTCGCTTGAGGCTGATGCGACGTCTGGTTGTGAATGAGCAGACTGTTCATGTTGGCAAAGAAAATGTTGCACGACTCGCAAAATACAACTTCTTGCTTATCTTCAGATTTGACCCACCTAAATTTGTATAATTAAAAGAAAACATTTTGAATGAAATATTTGCTTACTCAATACTCATATTATCTCCTTTGCCATGATCCACAATTTCGTCTGTTATTTCATTCCACTACATTTTCAAAAGAATTAAAAATATTTTAATCGGCTCCCTAGTGAAAACTTACGTGCGGTTGTTGCTCGCCAAGAATATTTTTCAGAGTTTCGTCGGCCTTATTGCAAATGTTCTTGAATTCAATGCTTGCCTCCAGACTAAAGATGCACCTCGAGCAGATTTTGGTTGGTAGCAAATCATTTTCCATCACCTTTAAAACATTACTTTTATTAATTACATAGTCTAATATGGGAGGGTGATATTTCTCACTAATATGGGGAGGTGGCTGTTGATCTTATCTTGAAGCTTTTTCTCCACTCCATCGTGACCAAATATTGGCAAGAGGTTGGTGCTGGAGCCGGCGCAAGTGCGGCACATGGTTTGCAAATCTTGTGTCATCTTGTTTCAAGTCATTAAACTTGGGGCGGACAATCAGAGACGTCTAAAAAAAATTATAAGTGCATGTAGATTTTGAAGAGCAAAATATAATAAAAAAAAAACTGCATACATATCTTGTTAATTACGCGATATTTATATTATTTTAATGTCAATTAATTTTTATGAATTCACTTTTCATACCGCTTATATTCATATGAACCATATTTTATTCATGTAGAAATTGAAATAATACATAAAATGAAATTATTATATATCCATAACATTTTTGACACTTATAAATTAAAATAACAAATTTAACGAAAAATAATTTTTTAAATTATTTTATTGTGTAAAAAAAGGATTTTTACATTATTTTGCGTATTACATCTCATTAATTTTTATATTGGCAATAATTAATTGTTGATAATGGACGAGAAAGGTTAAATTAATATAATTATAATAAATTGTGTTTATATCTATTTTATTTTTAGCATCTCGGCATTAAAATGATCTCAGTTTGCGTTTCGCGTTCTCTCTATTATGTCTGGACTTTCTAGATCTACCCGTCTTGGACCTAAATTGCAAAAATCTATGGAGCCTACCACGGACGAGGATATATTATGGTTTAAATTAAATTTAAGTTGAGCCATCCTTAAATGATGTCAGTCCGAAGCTGCTACGTATCACGACTCGCACAGTAATGGCGATCACTTTTAACGGCAAAGCGATTCGAAAGTCCAGTCTCTCTCCATTAATTTCGAGTTTCAAACAAATTGGTCTTACTCGATTTCGGCATGCAATAACATTTACCTTGGGCCCTGGACTCGGTTTGAATTTGCTCCTTGAGGATCCGCCGAGAGAAATCCTCGTCGAAACCAAAGAGAGCTGCAAAGAGCTAGGAAAAAGGTCATCCAAGGAAGAAGCTGGCCAGAAACAAAAATGGCTGGCGTGGCGCATTTTGCGGAAGCCGAAGTTGTCCGTTCCGTCCACAGGTGGCGCGCAAGTGCTAAATTAGTGAGGAAAAATTTTAAATGAACTCTCTCTAATGTCAATGACCACCTTCTAGGATCTGATGACGTCTATTATTTGTTATTACACCTTCATTACATGTGTGCGCACCCTGTCACGCGGCCGAAAGTACCTAGATTCATGAGGTGAGTGCCACAAGTGGTCAGGAATTGTGCTGGAAAATGGGTCACGGCTTTCACATTTTTTTCTGCTCGATTTGCCCTGGATCGAGGAGTGCTGGTTGACAAATGAGCCACAGGTGCACGGCTCCATGTAACAGGGCTGTCCGGCCGAGCGAGCATACGGTTGTGGCGTTGACCCCGTCCTTGATGGTGTGTCCGAATTGCAGGTGATATTCGAATTTTGCGAACATGAACGATAGACGGAGGGCCGACGACGTCCAGCATGTCACCGAACTGTCATTCCGCAACAACAACAACGTCGGCGGCAAGGAGCCCAGCAAGTACGACGACCCTCCAAACTCAAGGCTGTTCATCGTCTGCGACAAGCACATCACAGAGAAGGAGTTCCAAGAGGCCTTCTCTAAGTACGGCACCATCGAGGAGATTTGGTTTGTCAAGGACAAAACCTCTGGTGAACCGAAAGGTAAAAAAAAAACTGAATATAAAATTTTTTCTCTATAATTAAATCTCTTTTATCTGATTCATGTATGTTTAAAAAAAAAATGCTTTTTTAGGTGTTGTTTACATCAAATTTTCAAAAACTTCTGAGGCGGCTTCAGCAATGGAGGAAATGAATGGTTCTTGCATCCCAAACCACCCACGGCCTTTGAAGGTCATGATAGCAGCTAGGTATTGTGTTTATAGATTTCTCCTTACGATAAATTAATTCAGTTTTCCAAAACTTTTTGCAGCCGAGATCAGGGATCAAGGAGGGAAGTGAATGAAGAAGAGAGGTTGCTACGACTGTTTGTGATGGTGCCAAAAAGCATGACTCAGAAAGAGTTGGAGGAGGTTTTTTCTCAGTATGGTGATATTGATTACGTCTCTATTGTCAAGGACCATGAGACCAAAGCTAGCAAAGGATTTGCTTACATTAAGTACCATAGGTAGACACTTTTATCTGTAAATGTAAACCTTATATACAATTTTAAAATAATTTTGCGAACTGAAAAATGAATAACTTTACTATTTGATAGTATTTGAAATTTTTTTGTGAATGGTTAAATCATGCAAAAATCTTGGTATTATTTCTCAGAATTGACATTATTGAAGTTATCAAATATATTTCTAGGGCCAGTCATGCAGCTAAGGCCTTCGAAGGTTGTGATAAATCTTTCAAGCCCGTTTTCGCCGAGCCAAAGCCCCAGAAGTCGTCCGGTCCCGCCTCGGAGCCTGACCGTTTTCCCTTGCAACTAGGATCTAATGGCAACTTTGCTGAGGCATTTAACCAGGGTGAAGCCTGCAGCACCAGTCTGACCATCATCGCGTCACCCTCGCTTAACCAAGATCAGCTGTGGCGCCTCTTTGACATTGTGCCTGGCATGGACTACCTCCAGCTCCTTCCCGACCCTGTCACCGGGCAGTTCAAGGGACACGCTATTGCCGTCTACAAGTACCCACAAGCTGCTGCCTTTGCAAAGGAAAAGCTCCATGGGTTCGAGTATCCCATCGGACAACGACTGATCGTCAAATTGGAATCGTCCCTTAACAAAGATAGACCGTGAGCATTGATCCTTACATTTAACTACCATATTTAATTAAAAAAATATGTGCAGTCTTGTAACATCAAATTTAAAGCTTTCAATTCCTGGATAAATTAATTTCACTATTTATTTTTTAGAGTGCTAACTGGTCCAGGACCCTCTACAGTGCCTAGGCACAGCATTGTGCCACTCAGCCAGCAAGCCGTCAGACCTGAATTTACTGCCTTACCTGAAAATTTCGTATCTGCAAGGGCCATAATTCAAGTAGCAGCTACGAATCCAGGTTTTTTCTTCTTATTTTTGCCTTAATTTTAAATTTTTTATTTTTAATATATATAGGAATTCCTGCCATTATGGCTCGTCCTGTTGACAAGACATTCGACCCTAGATTTTGCTCAGTACCTCTTCCGCCACCCCAAAATTGTGCTCCTTACGGCGCAGAAGTTGTCGAGAGGTGAGACAATTACATTCTAAAAGGTTCTCATAATTAACGTTGCTGAATTTAGGCTGTTCATTGTATGTCAGCCGTCTCCACCAGCAGTGCCTATTTTGAAAGATGTCTTCAGTAGATTTGGAAATTTAATAGACGTCTACCTAATTGGTCAGAAGACTTGCGGCTACGTGAAGTATGCCTCAAAAGATAGCGCCGAGCTGGCTATGAAGGTATTTAATTTTCTTTGCGGACCCTGCATTATTCTCAGTTAGGGTATTGTTGCACTCTAACATAATTAATATTATTTCAGTAAACGTACTCATGCTTTCCCAATTTAGAAAAAAAGCTAGACCTCTGGCTCAACTTTCAGAAATTTTCCCCATGTTTTTCGCTCAAATTTTGGAGATTTAAAGCAAAATATTTTTAATTGGATATTTAAGATAAAATTTTGAACATTTTGGCGATTTTCCCTAGTTGCAAAATTTGCACTCATTTTATAGCATGCAATAAAACTTGCAATCTGAGGACAGGGCACGTTAAGCTTTCTTGCTCTGTCAAATGTTGACCAATTTTTTCTATTAATATATTTATACCAATTTTTTTCTTTTCTCAATGTTTAAATTAAAAAATTTCAGACTCTACACGGAGAAATGATATGCGGGCGCAGGTTGAAAGTTCTGCCAGCAGAACCTGCCAAGGATGACGTGAGTCGCAAAAGGGTCAAGATGGAATATTGAATGAGGTAAGTCGATTTTGCCACTTTCTCTCTGTTGCTTTCTGCAAATGCAATTTGTATAAATATGCAATTTGTCTGCTTTTTCTTTTCCATTTACCTCCAAAAATTTGTGTTGACAGCTCACGACCTACGCCAAGCTGTACGAAAGACTTGCAACGAGACAAACAAAACGACTTGCGCCCAACTTATTTTGTGTGTCTTCTGTGAGGACTATTGACTCTCTATTATATTCATTTTTTATGTTTTGAATCTTTTTATTTTATAACGGTTAATTTTTCTCTTAATTCAGAGTACAGTATTAACAAGTATTACATTTTTAAATATTTAATTAGCGTATTTTGTCGTTAACTCATTTTTACCCAAGTGATCTAACGTGATTTACATTTTTTGTTATAATTTGTAATGTTCTCTTGATACATACATCACATCTTCTTGATGATTATGGTATTATTAGCAATACTATTTATATACATAATATTTAGTCACTGTCACATTAAAGCAAATTTGTTACTCTCACAAGCATTGTTTTACTTTTATCATTGCTTGGACACTTTGGACTCCTTTTTCAGACTTGATCAGCTTGAGACACTTGAAACTGAAGGCCATAGAGTAGAAATACTGTGAGACTGTCTTCTGATAGGAGAATAATCTGCATAAATTTAAAAGATAATAGGATTCTACAAAATCTTTATTTAATCATCGGTCTCTTTGATTTACTGAACTCCGAGCCTGTAAATTGAGCTACGCAGCAAAAATTAGAACAATGAAATATCTTTTGCCTTTAATTGTTTGCTTAGCATTCAGCTTTGAGGTAATAAATTAATATCTGTTTCTTGTCACTTTATTCATTGCAAAATTGATTTTATGGACTATAAAATTTGAGGAAATGCCAATTTTCAGATTGGCAGAACCAATTCTCCAAGCAAACGTAAGTTTTTGCAGTCTTTTCCCTGTTTTAATCCCAATAATTTAATTTAAAATGGTTTTGCATTGCCTGCACTTGTCTAGTTGGTTCAGAATGGGTTGAAATCGGCAACAAATCGTACTACTTTGAGATGCAAAATTACGTAATTAATTAATTTTTACACAAAAGGCGAATTTCATGATTATGCTAATTGAAAAATATTTAATAGGCGGATTGGTATGATGCCCAGACTCTGTGTGAGCGCCGAAACTTGACCCTATTGAGTCTGCAAACCGCCGAAAAGTGGAACACTTTCACAACCTTTTTGCTTGCCAATCCAGGTATAATAAAATTATATTATGATGATAAGGACACTGATAGAGTTAACTTGTTTCTATCAAGATTTTGACATGAATTTGTGGTCTTCTGGAGCCAGACTTGACGACGGACAATTTCTCTGGCGGTCAACTGGCGAAGAGGTCAGTTTTACTAAATGGGCGTTTGGAGAGCCCAATATGCCATCAGGATCAAATTACTGCATTGTGTTCTCTGCGAATCCCAATGGATGGGATGATATCGACTGCACTGGTCGCTGGTTTGCATCAGTGTGTGAGGAAAATGCAGTTTAATCGCAACGAAAATATGATAAGTTTGAAAGTTTTATAATTCGGTATTTTCAATAAATATCTCGCATCGCATTATTTTTTTGCTTTTCAATTTATTGTTCAAATTAATTTCACTGTCCCATGGCAAATACAGATTTTAATAGAATATTTAGCTTAAAATCAAAATCATCGGAGAAAAAAAATAACCAAACTGTCTCTTGACTGGAGATGCACAACGAGAATGGGAAACTAGGGTTCTCCGTCCCATCTTTAGTGATAAATACTGATACTATTGAAAGGGATTTTTCTCTCAAGAATTATGCTATACAAAGACTCAATTTAACCTATATATCATTTTCAATCACAGCATTGCATCTGAAAAACATATGATTTGTGCTTTAATGAAAAAAAAATGGTTATTATCTTATCTTTATCTTATGAACCATTTTGCGCCATTTTGGTCTAAATTTTTTGATGCAAAAATAATAATTTTTAAAACTAATGTAATACTTATTCAATGAAATTTTTTAATTAAAATTTGAATATTTAATTTTATAATAAATTCAGTGAACATATAATAAATTAAGCTTTTCAGTGCTTTTTAAATCACAAATATTGAACGATAATGTTCTCTTGTCAGTGTACACCTCCAGGCCCATATCTGATTTCCCGCTCGAATTGCTCTGCTTTCAAAGTTCCATCGATCGACTCGCAGTTTGGATTGAAAACCGAGTAGGCACTTGGCTCTCCAGGTTTCCGAGGCGTCGTTTTTGTGCACAGGAAAATAAAAACAATTGCAGAAATGACGCAAAACGCCAAAGCCAGACCGAGTTGGTGCGAAATGAGCAGCAGGGTGAGCCAGAGGAGGGCAAGGATGGCCGTGGTGGTGCGGCGGATGCGTTTGGACAAGAGGCCTTCGGTGGAACTTTCGTCCTCCTCGGCTTCCCACGCCTCGTCATCACTCATCAACACTACATTTCTTTGGCCAGAGGGAAAAGAGGCCGAAGGAGCTGCAGCGGAGAGCATCGGCTGTACAAAAATTACAAATAGGAAAAAATATTTAAAATTTATATATTTTTAGTGCCTGCTAAAATATAAAATAATATATAATATTATGTATTTTACTAAAAATGTTAAAAATAGTTCAAATAATAAAATAAATTCTTGAATACATATATTGTATTTTCCATAAATTAAAAAAATATAAAAACTATAATTTTCAACACTAAGGCAGCAGACTGGAAAACTAACTTTTCGCGCGTTACAATGGCAAAATTTCCAGGTTAGCCACATAATCTGTTAAAAACAGACAGCAAAAAAAAAAAAATTTAATAATGCAAAAGAAAAATTTTAAATCGTTGAATTCTTCCTTTGAATTAATTATAAATTTATTATTGTAGGTCGCAATTTCATTTAAACAATATAATATTAAGGATTATGTAATAAATATTTGCCTCTCGCTCGTGTGCTGAGAGAGCTGGGTCCATGTCAGACTCGTCTTTCTCTTTCACGCCGGCCGCAAAGAAATTTTTGACTTTGCTCTTGGCCTCGTCGATTAGCTCCTGCCTTCTTCTCTTGGCCCTATACTCCCTTAACTTCGCGTCCATGGCGCCCCATCAAACTGCAAGACTTTGAGAACAAAATACACACGTAAACAAATTATGACAGCTACCCGCCACTACCCAGCTGACGAGTCAGTTGCGAGTAGAGATAGTAGAGCTCTGGGATACGAATAAGGGCGGGGCTTAGGTACCAGCTCCCATTTGATTACATTGTACCAGTTTAACATTGCGGGTATGGGGGGGCTCCGCCTTTCTTCGTATCCCATGGTTCTACAATCCCTAGTTGCGAGCAAAACTTTCCACATTTTGGCACGACTGGGCGAGCGAAAGGGTTTGCGTGGCATTCGATAGGTGGAGAGACTATAGTCAAGTGTCAAAAGCCCTCTGTTGCTCTGGCCGCCCGCTCAAGCCTGGCCCCGCTCATCATTGCCTGACACTGGTGGTGGATCAGTGGTGCGCTTCTAGCTGTCAAAATAATAGAATAAAAAATTTAATTTAGGATATTTTAAACATTTTAACATTTTCGTTATAAGTACAATCATAATTTATGTATATTAAATAGAAGTAAACTATAATTTTTTAATTTAGTTTTTCAGTTGGTTTCTTTTTTTCTTTTTGTAAATGGGAACCAGTAAAAAATTGATTAAAATTAGATCGAAAAAATAAAGACTAATTATAACATAAATTTTTGTTTTTGTTTCCATCTAGGCATTACGTTGCGTGTTGATATTTTGAACCAGAAAAGTAGGTTCTTAGTTTAAAACGCCGCACTTTTTTTTGCAGGTGGTTTCTTTGCTTTATTTCTTCCTAAATGCGCTTATCTATTTATTTATTTATTTTTTTTTTTAAATGATTAATTTATTTGTTAGATAAGTGTCAATTTGTAAAATTAAAAATAGTTATTTTAGTATTTCACATAAAAAAAGACGGTAATATTTAATCACGCATGAATAAAAAATCAATAATAAGGTTTTTGGTGCTAAAATGATGCTTTATTATTTCATGTTTTCATTTTTAATACTGTACATTTTAAACTACGGTCTGACTGCAAGGAAACTGACAACACATCCCGATCGCGGCTTCAACGTAAAAGCAGCGGGGTCAAAGTTGTCAAACCTGGAAAATTTAAATTATTTCATAAAAAATCTATTAAAAAAATTAACTGCAAAATTATTTAAAGCAAAAAATGAAATCAATAAACGTACGGAATGTCGCTGCCGAGAGTTCTGATTTCCACGGTTGGCTGCGTGATTTCAAATGGGAATGCGCCAAAAGCACCGGGTGAGAGGTCAATTACATGGGTCTGGTCGTGGCTCCAGTTGAAAACGACCATATAACTCTTGTCCGTTGGACTCAATGCCTCTCTGTTGATTTAAAATCCAAACAAAAAATTAAAAATTTTGTAATATTTCCAATGATTTCTAAATTCCAAAAATTTTTCACAATAATTTGTACAATTGAAAAAAATATGGATGGTTAAAATTAAAAAAGTAATATTTAGGCATCACCTCTTTTTACTATTATTTGCTTTAAAATTTTGCTAAAAATATACCTTGCGTAGGCGAGCACCAGCTCGTAGGCGACGACCGAGGTGTGCAGGGTGCCGAACTGGATGGCCGGTTCCTTCCTTAGGCTGACCAACCTCTTGAAGATCTTCAGTACGCTCTCTTGGGCGGCCTCCTCAGCAGCCACGTTCACCGTCAGGTAGTTGTCGTTGACCCTGAGCCACGGTTTTGGTCCACTCGTGAACCCTGACATTTTTTATTATTTAGTTCGCTTTTTCCGTTTTGGGAAATAATTTCCTCAAACCTGCGTGCTGCGAGTCGTCCCACTGCATGGGCGTCCTCGGAGGGTCTCGGTAGCCGGCGGGGTCAACGATCTCCTCGGGTGGAATGTAGGTGTCGACCATGCCCAGTTCCTCGCCATAGTAGTTGATGGAGGTGCCAGGCAGCAACAGGGTGGTCAGGATGGCGCCGTCGGTCAACTGCAGCCTGGTGCCCACACGCGAGATGTCATGATTCCCGAGCTGAAGTTTGTACATATTTTATATTTTGCTTCTCAATACGAGAGTTACAGGAAAAAGCATTGATCAAACAAAATTTTCAAAGTTCCGCATTAGTTTTGCCCAATTTATAGAAATAAGAAAATTTATTTGCTAGAGTAATTTGTTCGTGTGATAAGAAAAACCATGAGAAAACCCCAGCATAAAGAAAGCGCTGCTGGCTGCTGCTTTTGTGCTTGCTGGGCCCTCAGCAAGCTAGAAAAAGCAAGAAAGTGGCCGGTTTAGCTTCTCTTGCTCCAACTTGTATCAGGAGCGCATTAATCACAAGGAGGTATTGCGACTTATTTCTTCATTTTTTTTTAACTTTCAGCATTATTTTTCTTATTTCTTTCAGAACTTTAATGAATTATAATATAATTACCTTGATTATGAACAAATTTTACAAAAATTACAACGGTAAAATTTTACCAAAGTGCATTTTTAATATGTATATCATTTAGATTTAATTATGGAAAGTATATTAAAATTCAATCTCATTTAAAATATCAATTAAAAGTAACGCACCACCCAATTAGGCCACCCATTGTCAGGAATGTTGTCCACCCATCCGCGAATTGCGTTTTCAGCATCTCTTCCGTTGGAATTGCTGTTCATCGTGGTCAAGAAACGGAAGTTAAATGGGAAGTCGGACACATTGCGGTAATATTGCATCACTTCTTCAATGGGATTCCACACCTCCAGCATCATGACCCTACACAATTTAAAAATCAGGAGTTTTATTTTAAATTACATTTTAAGTTTTCACCTGTGAAGGCCATCGCCAGCGCTGGCCGAGTATTGGTCGGTGTGTTCTTTGAAGAGGGACAAAGTGTACGGAGTCTCGGGAAGGTTCTGAGTGTAGACGTGTCGGAGGTAGTTGTAGTCATTAGGATCAACATTGCTGCCGGAAAGGGGTTCGTCCAGTAATTGGGGGTCTTCGAACATGTGGGTCACTGCGTCCCACCTAAAGCCGTAGATGCCCAGATCATACCAGTAGGTGAGGATGTCCTAAAAAATTATCAATAAATGTAAGACTATGACTGTAAATTTGAATTAACATAAAAATATCCAGTCGTAAAATTGTAAAATTTGTAAAAAAAAAGTAAAGAAGACATCATTATGTCCCTTAATATAGTAGCAAAATAGAGGAAACCTTGATTTCTTGTATGATGGCGGGGTTGTTGTAGTTAAAGTCGGGCTGCTTCCTGTGGAACTGGTGCAAGTAGTACTCCTGCCTCAACTCACTCCACGCCCAGGCAGAGCCGCCAAACACGCTCAACTTGAGAGGGATAAAATTATTCGCGTTTAGCAGGTTTCTGTGTTAATTGTTGTTAACATACCCAGTTGTTGGGTGGAATCGGATCTCCAGAGGCGTTGAAGCCCTTTGCCGGCTGCCACGTGTAGTAGTCTGTGTAGGGGTCGATTTTTTGCTCAGACTTGACAAACCATTCGTGCTCATCGCTCGAGTGGTTGGGAACCATGTCCATTATGATTCCCAAGTCTGCAAATCGGCAATTAAATTAATGCGCGCCAACAAACCGCGCGCTGCACGGGCACTCTATCAGTTTACAGCCAAGGCCGCGTTATAGTGTTACTCTAAATTATTCCATTACAGGACACACCTCGGCCCTCTAATTAATACAGTTCCATAATTATGAGGGGCAGAATTTAATTATTATTTTTTCAGCTGCACATGAACAGTAATTACCAACTGAACTTGAATCTTTTTCTACAAATAAAAAAGATTTTAATCAATTTCTTAAAAAAATGCACTTCAAATATGAAAAAAATAGCCTCTATTTTTTAATAAAGGACACTCACAATCACATGTATGGACCTTTGCTAGGAAGGTCGAAATAATTTTCGATATGTTGATTCCATATTTAGGAATTTATTTTCCTCTATTGAAAGATATTTCAATATATCTCTTATTGAAATAAATGAACAAAAAAAAATTCATTTTCTAAACGTATTTTTTGATTAACTTCATTGCTGGCAATAAACTTTTTTTATAGAAACTCTACTAGTAACTCTGTGCGATTTTGATTTAAAAAAAATTAATTCAAAGCCAGGCAGACATTTATTTATACTGAGTTATATACTCATTTAGGGCTGTTTCATGCAGGAGGAATGGAATTGAGATGCGAAAATGAATAGAGGTTGACAAACTCACTCCTGCTTTTGGCTTCTGCCAGCAGCGTTTTGAATTCGTCCAAAGTGCCAAAGAGTGGGTCGATGTCCCTGAAGTCGGAAATGTCATATCCGAAATCGGCCATGGGACTTTTGTAAATGGGCGAAAGCCACACGGCGGCAACACCCAAGCTGGCGATGTAGTCCAGTTTGCTGATAATACCTGCCAATTGATGAGATTAATTAGTGAATTATAATAGGCATTGATGGGGACAATATTATATTACGATTTCAAGTAGCTTATCGCTGTGTTATTTAACACTTCTGTGATGGCTAAAGATTATCAGTTGGGAGTTATGTAACACAATATTATATACTTTAAAATTATTTAATTTGTGAAGATATGAAAATAGCATAAAACTTAATTTTAAATTGATTTTTTTTTTAAATAAATTTTATTTCAATAACAGGTAAATGTTATTAATTTATTGTATGCAAGGTTTTTAATGTGCTCCAAAATGTCGTATATTGATTAAAGATTGAAAAAAAAGTTCTGAAGACAAATTTGTGAGAGATAAAAATTATAAATCGTCATAAATTGATATTTTAAAGAATTTTTTTCAAATCATACAGAATAATAAGAAAAAAGACAAATAAAGTGAAAAATAATAAATTAAAGTCTAATTCATGTTGATTTGGATTAAAAGTCCACTTTTCCTTGATTGGATTTTGCGAGTTTTTTTTATTGTTTTTCTGAAACAATAAACAACGCACAAAACCCATCAAGGGAAAAGTCAACTTGAAATTCATCCTTCTATCGAGAAATTCCATTTATTCAAAAAAAAAGAAGTATAATTATTTATTAAAAGTATTGGAGTAAGTTACTTTTAAAAGTTTTATATTTTTAGTTTCAATTTGCATCGAAGCTAATAAAATAACAAATAATCCTTCATTGTGTTAACCAGATTTAATATTATTATGTCACCATATTCCGCTTCTTTTTCACAGTTAATTAAAAAGTTGATTTTAATTTTAATCAAATCAGTACTAACCATTGATGTCTCCAATACCGTCACCATTTGAATCTTTGTATGAACGAGGGTAGATTTGGTAAATGACCCCAGTTTGCCACCAGTCGAGCTGGGCCTGGGCGGCCCCGATGACGAGCACCAGCCCCGCCAAAAGTGACAAATGCTGCATTTTGAGGGTTCCACGTCGCTCGCAGACCCACACCTAATTTATACCTCCTTTTTATCTCTGCCTGATAACCCGCGTCTTTTTTGACCTGATAATACTCTTTCTCTTGCACAAGGAGAGTGCGGCCTCCTTGACGTCAAATTATTGGCCGGAGATTGAAGGGCTTTTCCATTTTGCTTGCCAACTGACGAGAGGCAGAGAGGTTTTGCATACCGCGCGGTAAAACGCCTACCATTATTATCTTTGGCTTTATCGAGCGCCTCTATTGATAGGCTTATAGTTGTTAGGGTACATGCTTTTAATAGTTAGCTTAATAGAGGATCTTGAATGTTAAAAGTATATCATCTTGTTGAGATTTTTTTGAAAATGTAATTACCGTTTGCAAACAAAATTAATTTATTTATTTCAACAAGTTATATCCTTCTGCATGTTTTACTTTGAAAAATCTTGAGGTTTTTGCGATGAAAGTATGCAAAAAGTAAACATACTCATGGCATGTATTCTTCTTCAATTGAATAATTTTTTATTTTCATAAACTTGGACAAAGATATATATAGTTCCAACACGAAAATAAATTGGTGAAACAATTTGTCTGCATTTTATTTGAAGAAAATTTAATTGATGCAATATATTTTTGAAATTGTAATTAAATCATTCATGTATATCATCTGAAAATCATAAATGTGAGCAGCCGCGCTTATTGCTACAAAATTACGAATATTTGAGAGCTTCCACAAAATTGACTACTGCCAGTACCACCAGATAAATCAACGCGACGATCGAAATACTGCTGCCCACAATAAACAGAATCGTAATATCCGGCAGAAAAGCATTAACAGCGTCTAAAATCAGACCGAAAAAGAGCGCCAGGTAGGCGATCAGTTTGCACGTCGCCAAAATCCTGTTTTTGCGCGACGAGTTGGGCGACCATCCAATCTCGAGTAGCACTTCCATTCCAGTGGGCGCCAGGGTGTACCTTCCGTTTGGTGGGTAGCACATTTGGCAGGGAGCCATTCGGTTTCCAGTCAGGTACGAGCCCCAGTCTGAGTAAACCCTGTACCGCGAGTCGATGAACTTGGTCTGGCCGCCGCCCTCCACCCTGAACACAATTTCACCCCACGTTGATTTTTTCCACTTGGCGGTGACGTATATTATATTGATGTAGACAAACTGTTCAGGAAAATACTTCGTAATCTGAAATTTATAATTTAACTTCAAAAAATTTGTTATAATTTGTAATAAAAAATTTAATTAAACTCGATAATTATTTTTTTTAATTACATTGTGTTAAAAAATAATTAATTTGTAATTGATTTTGTTATTTTCTTTTGTTTTTGAGAGTAAAGTTTTTTCACAGTTTTTTTGCAAGTTATTTGTTTCTCTGAAGTCTATTAAAAATGTGTTTATTTTGAATATAAGTGTATAATATACTGCCTTGCAATTAGAATTGAAACGTACACATTAAATAATTAATATTTTTCGTTTATCCTTTGAAAAATAACGCAATAGAAGATAAATATAAGAGAGAAAATGGATGGAATAAACACACCTTATTTGAAATGATTTTGACACTTGCCGCTTCTGTCCGTGAGAGTCCAAGGTCTGACAAGTCCTCCTGCTCATCGGTCAATTCGCTGTGGAACATGTGCTCCGCAATCATGAGCTGCAAAGAGTGCTTCGTCTCGGAGGGCACGCCGCGCCAAGTCACCTTGTGGCCCACCTTTGTGTAAAATTCGCACTGTTCCCTCTTGGCTTCCGCTTGCCAATTTTCCGGGTCGATCGGCTCAACCATGATGTCTGCGGGAAAACGCTGTTTGCGCGTCCGCAAATCTCCAAGCACTCAGCAGTCGCACGTTTATCTTATCAGGAAAATTCGATCATCGCTCTTGGAATAATACATAAATGCATCCAAGGGCCAAATCTGATTGCTCGAAACGCAAAATCTCTTCCCTCTTTCCCCTATTGACGTAAAACACAAAGTTTAAATTATTTTTGCAATCAGATCGACACTGTAGTATATGAATTCCGGGAGAAAAATCAAATCAGTATATTCTAATCAGAGTAATACGGCCTGCAAATAATCCAAAAAAGTTGTACTGTTTTATAAAAAGAGCGGAATTTGTTTGATTTTTAATTTTTTATTAGTGAATTATTTAAATAACAAATTTCATTCGAAAGTTGTTTTTTTTAAAGTTGTTCGATCTTAAAATCCATAAAACCATAAATGATTAAAAATTTAGTGTCAATTAAATTTAATTAATTAAACTTGTTATTTATTTCATTACTTTATACATATCAACTTTCAAAGAGTGTGTGCTTCTTATTGTAATAAGTTATATACTATCGCAAAATAAAGTTTTCATCCATCTAATGTTGCTGCATTTTCTTATGAACGAAAGAGTGGATTTTGATTTATGACATTGCATTATTACAAAATCATTATTGTTTTTTATATTTACAAGATAACTTGATTTTTGTAAGAGCAGAAAGCAAATTGAATGAAATGGTGACTGGAGTTTCCAAAATAATGCATGTTTCCCTCAAATTGAAAGAGAATATATAAAAAAATTTATGATTTACTTATTTTTAAGTGTTTCTTGATTTTCATACTATGCAAATATAGCCAATTTATTTTTTAATGCTATATCTAAATGTCTTCACGTGGCCCTATACTGCTTTCTGTTGAAATACGAAACAGTATTGAACCGGCCCGCACGCACTTTGGAGAGCAAGCGAGCCAAGTGCTTTATTTGCAAACATTTTTTTATATTGTTACAAAAGAGAGCAGCTTTGTGTTGGTAGCAAACATTTGCCCGAAGGGAAATGAGCAAACAAATAGTAGTGCTCTCTGAATTTCTACACCGAGAAAAAGTAGCAATCAGCAGGCGGGTTTTTTTTCAATCTAGAGTGTAGGTCGCGAATTTCTGCCGAGTTACAGCGCGATTGATTTTGCCAGGCGCGTTCATTACTCATTGGCCGGCCGAATATCGCGGTGGCGCTCCCATGGAAAAAGTCGCATGGAGATCACTCACTCTCTCACTCACTCTCGGGCCGGCCAAAAGGGTGTCATTTGTCACGCCCGGGGCACATCCCCGCTCGCTATCTGCCGCGCTAATGGACCCCATAAAGATTGAAGTGCAATCACACACTCCACCTACCTACCAACTTAATGATTAATAGTGGTGCCGATGGAAATGCCACGGCGGAAAAACAAGCAAATTCCATGAGGCCGTGCCCAGGTTCGCCTGCAGCATGCTGATAAATCTGGCTCCGCCGGAATGCAATTAAACGGGATGTGGTTTCAAAGCCCAGATCGAGATTGATCGACAAAGATTAGCGTGATTTTGTTAGAATCTTAGGTGAATTAATTTGGCATAAGGAGTAAAAATCAAAATTAAATTTATAGTGTTAATTTGGATTTGTATACAGTTGTCTTGACCAAATGTCAAAAATTTAAAGTCAATAATGGCAATTAAAAATATCATTAATTATTATGCAACATTTGGTTGATTATCTTGGTGACAATCTTATCAAAAACTAATGACGCAAACTGATTGTGGGATATATGTCAAATATCAATCATAACATATCATAATTTAGATAGACCTCTTTAACCAATTTCTACTTTCTGGGGTTTAAATGATGATATCTTATTGTGAATCTAATGGCGTGTATGTATATCTCTAAAGATATTGAATAGATGGCTGGGAGGAGTACCTACTTAATTTATTTCGTTCTTGAAAGAGTTTCAAAAATGTTCAATATTTTTAACTTTCTTATTAATCTAGCTTTGAAATATCAGACAATATTTTAGTTAATATATTTTTAAAATTAAAAAAATTAATTATATATTTAATTATGAATAATTAATTATTACTTTTAAAGTTTTATTAATTAATAAAACTAACAGCTTTTTTTAACAGGATAATTTAAAAAATAATATTAAACAAGTTTTAATTATATTAAAAAATCCAGCGTAAATTCAAGCTCTCTTGGTCAAGAACGCAAAATCATCAACATGCAGTGTTTTGATAAAAATTAACACATAAAAATAGATTGCAGCATAATTTCTTATTATAAATTTTTCTCTGTTCTCTGTACAGGTCCATGAAGCAATCACGTAATCAACACTCAAGTGCAGCAACCCATTAATCGGCAGGACAGCGAGAATATAATCTCCGCCCCTATGGCGCTAATTATTGTTATTGCGTGCACCACGGGCGCGATAATCGCAAATATTTTACGACGACGCTAATGCTGCGCGTCGCCACCTAAACTACACGCGCCGCTCTCATGCAGAGCGAACCGAGACCCTCTGCGTCGCCACCGCAAAATAACTCTTGGGACGCGCAAACAACTTCCCTTGGCTGAAACTCTCCGTCCTTAGTCTGCCCATAAATTGATTTTAACTAACTTCTCGGCGGCAGGCTAAGTCGGCTGAAATGGTGTTAGTCTTGGGAATTAAATGGACAAACCTTAAGAGCGTTGCAGACTCTCACTTTCGTTGGGGGATTAATTTCGTAAAGCGGCCAGAAATTGCTAATGAATATTTATCTGATGCTGTGATTAAATCGGATTAATTTTTACACTCCACTTTTAATTTCTTAAACTCCCGTTTGTAATAGATTTGTTGAGAGATCTCTAAATGAAATTGAAATTTCACATTTATTTAATATATGGTGATTTTCCGCGGAGATTATTTAGTCGCTTTGATTGTATTGAATGATGCAGATAATTTGAGTTTGACAATCATCATAAAATTTGAATTTTCGGACCGTTTCACTTTAAAATTGGTGTAAAAACCGAATAATTAGCTGCTTAAATTAAACGTCGTTCACCCCAATCACCCTTGGGTGTTGAGGTTGATGAAAGGAAAAAGTGTTAACTTATGTGGTGACCTGGAATTTAAGGCAGGTTGCATAATCCCCAAAGCCCACTCGTCGGCAAAGGCAGAGAGAGCACAAAGACAACTCGCTCCGTTTGACTGGTAGGAAACAATGGCCGGAGCAGCATTGGGGTTTCATTCAATGCATTGCGGTGCGGCGGCGAACAAACTCACCTTTGGGAGAACAGCTCCTCCGAATCAAGTGGGCTGTACGTTCAAAGAGAGCCAAGCTGCTAGTTAACAAAGCCAACTGTTGTGAGGCGGCTGAAATGGACAGTTCTGCTGCTTCGCCGGAGGAGTTCACATTAATGATGGAAATCGATCTCATTTAAAATTTAAAGCGCTGTCTGAGCGCTCCTGCTGCCTCGCACTAATTTGACTCTAACGACGAGCCGTCATTTCTGATGGGATTATTTTAGGCTTTTGGCAATTGACTGCGAAAAAAAATAATAAATAAGCTGCACGGGTGAAATTTAAAAAGAAAAATTTAAATGTTAAATTTAATTAATTTGAAGTTACTTACTTTTTATCCTCATCAAAATACAATCATTGATAAATTATAAATTAGAATTGAGGAGGAAATGTATGTTGTGAAAACGTTTATAAAAATGTATTATTTACTGAACTTCAAGAATTTTTGAGCATTAGGGAGTTGAATTGGCCAACTTTAAAATTACAATTAAATATTTGCACTAGTGAAAACTTTTTAAACAGATTACTTTAAGCGTGTTTTCATTGGAAAAGTCGTTAGTAATGAAACTTACACTTTTTTAACAATAGATCCTATGTTTTCTTTCTCTTGAAGTGAAATAAATTAAGAATATAAATTAAGTTTCATTTTACTCTTTTTTTCCTTCAAATTTCTTATGTAATTTGTAAAAACTAAATTATCAAACAAAATCAATAAAAATGGAATTAAAAGTTTAAATAATATCCTATATTATATGACATTGAAAAGCAAGACTAAAAACGATTAAAAATTTTCTGATAATTTAATTTTTTTTGTGATTGACTTTCTTTTACGTTTCAAATCAGAAAAGAAAATTGAAACTTGAAAAAGAAACTGTCGGCAAATAATAGATAAAAAAAACTGAAAAGACCTTTTCACTATTTTAATGAGCAGCCAGCGTTTTTTTTTTTATTCCATACGTGTTTTCTATTTTTAACGTTTTTGTTAGAAACAATTTTTCATAAATTTAATGATCAAAGTTTTGTCATATAGAGATAGGCAACAAATGTTTTTTTTTCTTTGCGAAGAGAATGACGTGTACAAAATCTCGCTCCTGCCAGAAGGCTTGCTGGTGCTAATCAATAGCTGTCTAAATTTAGGTCAGAACAGGCAACTGAAGCGCGAATTTTCCATCTGCAAGAACGGAAAATACATAAAATCAATTTGTCTGTGCTGGGAACGGTTTTTTGACACGAGGCGGGGGCGCGCTCTTCAAATTCTGTCAGCACCGATGAAAAATCACCACCCCGTGCCTGACGGGCCAGGCCACCTCTCTTTCCTGTTCTTTTCCTCCTTTCCGCGCTCATTACAATTGCCGATCGGTGCTGAGTGCTGCGAGCAAACCGCCTGCCCGATTTCTCACTGTCCAACTGAGCTCGGCAGAAAAATCCATAGCCGCGCTCTTCAAGCAATTTTTTCACTGCTGATAAAATAATAATAATAGAAGAACGACAACAATCTTCCTTGGTATTACGCTAGAAAATGAAAATATCCCTGCGCATTTTCACAATGCAGTGCATCTCTCTGAGTGAGAGAGCAGAACGTATAATACAGCCGCAGAACTATGCACCATATATAACCATGTACTAACTTTTGCTCCGTGCGGCAATGCAATAACGTCTCTTCTCTCTCTCCGTGGGACTGATGCAGGGAGGCAGATATTAATAACGCATTGTTATTCCACAGACGTGGCCTGGTGCGAGATGCACCTATACTGCTGAACTCTGACCTCGGTCTCAGTATCATATTATTCTGGGTAATAAACGAGAATTTCCAGTCATTGAAATGGCAGTACATTGCAATGGCTCATCATTCATTATTTTTATTTCTTTTTGTAAAATTTTTTATCAAAAAATTACCAACAAATATTTTTGTTATAAGTGATACTGAATTTATTTAAAGTTAATTCAAAACTGATTTTGGGTTTAATATCTTTAATAATATAATTTTTCTAGCGATTAAAGGTATTATTAAGTGATTCATATTAAAATAAAAAAAGGGTAAATATTAATAAAATTATACTAGTTTGGTAAAAAAAGAAACAAGATTTTATTAGTCTATGTGTAGCATATTCTTACCGAAAAAAAAAAACTGAGAAATAGTTTGATATATTAATTAATAAATAATTAATATTAATAATATATTAATAATATAAATTAATTTAAAAAAGTAGTGTAAAGATTTTAATATGTTAGGTTTTTATAGCATAATTTGATAAAGTACTAGGGTGATAGATTTGTATGAGTTATTAGTTATTAAACAATTTTTTTATACTTTTGTCACATGAAGCACGTTGGTCGAACCAGTTGAAATATCGTCACCAACTAAAAATTATACATATTATTTTAAAATGTTCCAGAAAACTGTTAAATTCTACATTTTTCAAAAATATTTCTTATTTTGGAATGCAGTGTTTCGCAATTATAGTGAAATTATAATTAATTATTATCAAAAATAATGTAAACAAAAATCTTTTGGAATTTCCCATTTTTTGCTTTTCACGCTTATTCACCAAAGACCACTTTCCAGTTTGCTACGTAGCAAACAAAACCAAGCAATTTCCACCGGCAACTGTGTTTGCGCACAGGTTGCTTTGTTTGCCTTTCCAATAAATCTGCATGACTGATTGCCAGTTTACAATCAGCCCGTGAGCACAGTATACATATGCTCTGGAATAACTATACTGCACGTCGTGACGTCACCCTCTGTCTCTGGGCAGTAGAGTTTCTCTGCGAGTAGATTTCTCAGAGGACCCTTTCACGTGGATGTCGAGGTGAAACGAGTCCATTAAGGGCGAAACCAGGACACGCGCGAGTGTCGCCGGTCTGCGTCTGACGTGTCTCGTGGCGACGAGGGCCTCCTTTCCACCGACGTGTGTGTTTGGAAAAGTGACAAGAAAATAAAGTGAGCAACGATCTAAATACATAAATTTCGCTCCAAGGCGAATGCGAAATGAAAGCGAGTAACGAATAGAGGAAAGAGAGAGCACTCAACTTTTTTTTCTTTGTCTGTGCGCCCGGCCTTGGTGGAGCGAGGGTTCTGTTTTGAAAAATGATGGATAGTTGTAAAAAAACTTACCTTGTCAAGGCAAAGTTCTTCATGTAATCATAAGAGAGCCTCTCCGCCAGCATCCGCCAAGGATTATGGGGAGGATTATTGAGTTTGAAATTTCAAAGAAGGTAATACGGAAGGTGCTTTTGAGAAACATTAAAAATATAAGAAACATAAAAAATTATGTTAGTGCTCATTTCCAATCGGAAAAATCGTAATAATTTTTTAAATCATAATATTAAAATAATATTAATAATGATTTTTTTGACTTGATTTCTTCCCTGCAATGGAATTTTTCACTTCAAGATAATTGCACAAAAAATATTAACAAATAAACTTTGCGTCATCACTTGCAAAATCAGCCCTCTAATGTATTATTTATATTATGCATTTTATATTTATAATATTTTTTTTTCAAAATTCAGTTCAATGCCAACTTGTATAGAATCCTGCAAGCCTTTCAATTTTCACCCCACATTCTTTTTAAAGTATTCAAAGTAAATTCAAACCTTTCGCATTATTGAAAGTTTGCAAAATTATGGAACCATCCACTGGAAAACTGCACGGTTCTCTGAGCAGACTGAAAATATTTGTAGATGCGGATTGCGAGAACTTCAAAAGGAAAACAACCTCCTCTTAATGCTCTATGCGTGTAAAATGCACATTACGCGCGCGGCATGCAAAAGGGGCCCACTCGGAAAAATCAGAACATCAATAACCCGTTTCCGCCGAAGCCCATAAATAAATGGACGTGTCTCTGGGTGCGGAAACTGCGAAAGACCCTTGCCTTGCACTGCACCCCCAAAATGTGTGCATTTGTTTTGCGAGTGCATCTTCTCGTGGGTTGCGGGGTAGAGGGGTGGCGGCGCCGCCGCGGCTGAGCACCGCTCGCTCTCTCTCACTTGCCCGCTCTCTCAGTGTGAAGCTCCAGTCGACGGCGAACACACGATCCTCTCCGTCTGTTGGTGCATCGGCCAGTGTTTCGCTATAGGCAACCCTCCTCGCGCTAACTCAATCAAGCCGGCGTAGTGCGCGTCTCAAAGCGGGCCACTTTGCTTGCTCAAATCGTTGCGGTAAGTTGATTTGCAACTTCCTCTTTGTCTCTTTGATCAGGTTTAACTTGATTTTTGTTTTCGTCGACTGCAAAAATGCTACTTATCAATTTTTTCAGTGCGTTGTCACCCAGAAAACTGATTTCATAATGAGTAAATACAATAATGTGAAAATTGATAATTTTGCAAACTCATAGGCACAGTTTTTCTATATCCGAGCTTTCATAAAATATTAAAAAAGATCTGAAATACATGTATCAATTAATACTGTGAAGGAAAAGAAATGCATTTACATTTTGGCTGGAGAGACTTACGGAAAATTAAACAATATTTTCAGATAAATCTCATTTGAACTTCGCAACACTTTGCATCTTGTAATTGGCTATCATAAGTTTCTAACATTGGAAATTGTGAATTGCTATTTTACTGTATAAATTCTGCTCTGCATGAATACAAAAAATCAATTCAGTCTTAAAATGATATGATTTAAAAATGCAGAAAAATAAAAACACGATTAATAATAATATAATTTTTAGTAACTAAATATCAAAAGGTCCCTAATAAATTGAAAAAAAAAATAGAAAATAATGGGATTAAATAATCTGATTGGTCCAATGATTTACTTTACCAATTCCTTATTGGATCGCGCGTTTATTTGTAGCTTTTATTAATTTCACCAATCGATAATCCGTTTTACATGTTCGCGATGTAATTAAAAATATCAGTCCCCATGATGAATAATATCAGATGCTGCGTTCAAGTTCGCCCAAAATCAATTATGCCACTGCGGTGAAGTGTTAAAGTCCCGTTACCCACGTCGTGATTGGATCGTCATAAATGGGAATCTGCACTTCAATAAATCTGAAATGAATGGACAATTAAGCGGTCAATTAATGTGGTGTAGCAGGGCTCCAGGCACGCGAACGCCACCAATTTTAATGAATCTGAGCGCACTCTCCACTCGGCCAATTCGAAGCAAACGGGCAATAATTGGCAGCATCCAGCAGCGAGGCTGTTTTTGTTGTTCGCGCGCTCTAATTTGCGCCAACTGCAATTATGTTTTGCGGCACGGCGTCAATTCGGATATGTATTTTTGCTGCGGCGAAGGGTCGAACGGGCCGATGAATATGCACAGAGGTGTCCCTTTGCCGCTTGTGTATTGTTTGCGTGATCGCAAACACAGAGAGGTGGAATGCGTAATTGCACAAAACACGGACATGAGTTATTAAGCATTAATTACAACACGTGACTCACAAACGTCGTGTATCTCTCTACCCTCGTAAAACTCCCTATGAATCACCGACCGTGAATGTAAACTTTCCTCCCTTCTTTTGTTTGCCACTCGTGAATAATTTTTTTTTTATTGTTTTCCCGCCGTGCGTGCAGCGGGCCATTTGTTTATTATAACCGCGAGTGAAATTAGTGAGGAAAAATTCAACCCCGTGTTCTCTCGTGAAATTTTATCGCCGAAATTTGCAAAATCCACCAACGAAAGCCCATTATTTTGAGGTAACTCCGCTGGGAAACACGGGACACCAAATTGCTGATATCACTTTACCGCGCGCGAGCATAGACGTGAATTTAATGCCGCTTGTTTGCTCGCCTAGTGAGAGAACGGTGCAAATTAAAACTCTGCAGAGCAGCGACGGTGAATGCACGGACGAAATGAAATTAAAGCATCGGAGAGGGAACGAGCGGAAATTGAAGAGGGAGGACTGCAGTTATCTCGCGCACAGCATCGGCTCATTTGCCGCCGCCGCCGTCGTCGGGTAACGAACATCTTTCTCTCGCTCTCTCACAAAAAAATTTGGCCAGAGTCGTTATCAGTCGCGTATATAAAAGGACGTTCGTTCTCAAAAGCATTGCGGCCTGCGAAAGAAATTCTCCCAGCACGCAATTCTGCGAATCGGCGTCTGTCGTCTTGGAATTTTCGCAAGTTGTACAGACACGAGTGAAAGAAAATGATCAAAAAACCGACCTAATTAAGAAATGAAAAACGTTAATTTGAAGGGAAAAAGAAAATCAAACTTTAGTAATAAGCAAATATTAAAAAAGCACATATATTTTTGAATTCAATAATTTTTGTAAAACTATAAATATTAATTTATTTGGAGTACTTTCAAGGATTATTCCATAAATACTTAGTTTTTTTCATGTCACACATTTTAGCTAAATTGTGTTTCAAACACTCAAATTTGAAGTATATTAGGAAAATATATGATTATAAAAACTGAAGCTGTTAAAAGTTTTGGTTCCTGAAAATCCCAAACCATATGTGCCCTTACAATTAGTTAATAGATCATGAGAGTATATTTAAGATAAATAAAATCAAAATAAGCTTTGTCCTTATAATATATATTTATTTTTATTCTTCATTCGAAACACATCTTTTTAGTTGAAAGTTAAACACAATTTCTGAAATTTATTGAAATTAAAGCCAGACAAAGCATGCATAATATTAAAAATTAAAGAGTGGCTCCATACAAAATAGAAAAATTAGGAAATTTTTCACTTCAAATAATTAAAATATATATATAGATGTGCAATTGTAGATTAAAACCATCTATGAAAAAATTTCAATTATTATATCAATAAAGGAACTTTCAATTTATTTATGATATAATTAATGAAATTCTCATGTCTATTAAAAATCACCTCATCAAAAATTGCTTCATTGCTCAAAGCTAATATATAACACGGTTCGCTATTCATTGACCTAGTTCTTTGGCGTTGATTTTTTTAAAGCAACATGAGTGGAGATAACAAGACTGGCTATTATTAGTATATGTTTAGTCCTTGTGTGATACAAGTGAATTGGGCGCAACTGGAAGCCTGTCGGTGCTATATTGAGAACCACTTGTCCTTCTCGCTGCAGAGGAATGCAGTGGCCACGCAACATACACGCAAGAAAAGTTTCAACTGGTTCGCAGTGAATGGGGTTGGACCACAAAGCCAGCGAGCATTTCAAGTGGACCTAAAACATATTTGGGGCTGAACATACAATGTTCTGTGTTTGCGACAATGGAGTTATAAATTTTTTCGGCGCGCCTGAAATATGGGCACACAGGGGTATGGTGCTCCACATTAATTTTCGTCACACCGACAGCACTTTTTGCCTCTTCGCGTTTTCTTTTGACTCTCGTTACGTCAGCGAAAATTGACTTTTTGCATAACGAAAATTGGCATGTTCTATAATTTGCCCGTGTCTCGCCCGGGGCGAATTATGCGGAATGACTTCTTGTTTGGAGGAAAGCGGCTTTTTGCAGACACACACATCAGACGCAATCAGGATTTCTGCGTAATAAAATTTGCTCCGCTGCATTGTCAGGGTGAAATGCGATTAACGTCAGGCTCTCGGCATGCGCGACTTGTTTATGCCACGCGAGCTAAAGGGGTGTTTCGCTCTCAATTATCCCTGCCTCTTGCACTGATGATTCAAATTTAATTATTTCGCCTTCTCGGCTGCAAACAAGAAAGCAGAGCCTGTCCTGCATGTCACACACTCTCTGCGAGCCATTGTTAACCTTTTCAAAGGCACGCACACATATTTGCAAATTGAGTTTGCATTATTATATATATGCTGCACCATGAGAAGCAACCCGTGGGCGCATAATTTGCTTGCGGACTCCACGGGCGGAACAATTCAATTTCCAGTGGGCACTGGATATTAATGCAGCCCAAATTTGTTTTGTGTGTTTACCGTTTTAACTTAATGAACCTGCAAATTGATGGCGTTTAACCTAGATTTAATGGTTGCAGCGGTGACCATGGAAAATTTGAAAACTGAAATTTTTCCATTTAAATTTTTGTATCAGTGGCACAGAGGGGTGTTTTAAGTTCTTAAATGTAAAATTCATTTTGGTTTCAATGAAACATTATTACAAGAAAGTTCACCAAAATGTCAATTTCTTTTCAACATTAGTGAAAAATTAAACAAAAATTCATACAATTTTTGCAATTTTGCAACTCTATTTAACTTTATCTAAATAAGTCTCTGACTTTTATTAAGTATTCCATGAACATATATATCTCTTAAAGCTTCAACTACAGAAAATCAAAATCTTCAGCCGTTTCATTGTGGCAAAATCTGTTGAATGGCAAAACTTGCTGAAGCCTGAATATTAAAGGCATGTTGGTCACTATAATTAAATATGTGATGAAATCATTCGAAATAAATATTTTTACACTTAAGTAAAGTTTGAAACGCAAACTTCCTAAAAGGTATCACTTTATTATTATTATTTTTTTTTAGTTAATTTTAATTATTTTCAAATTGGATGCATTTTCTGGATTAATGCTGAATTTCTCATCACATTAAAATATAAATTCCATCAATCAAGACACAAAATTTCAAGAAGAGGCTGATTTAGTGATTATACAAATATTCCAGTTGGCTGAAGAAACGCTTGATTAAATTGAATGCTTTCAAGCGAAGTGCATCCAAATCGCTTTCTGTAAAAGCACGTTCAAAATACCTGCTGTCATTATTTGAGAAGCGCGAAGCTTTTAATGGGATAAAATGGTTGCAAAAGCAATTTCCACACCTGTGCTTGAGATTTCTCGTCTCTCGCAGCTGCGAAATTCGAGCATTCAACGCATTATGGAAAAGGGCAAAACATCTTTTGTCGCGCCACTTGACTCGCAGTCCAATATATTTTATAATATTTGAATCGGCACGTGCGTGTGCCTGCCTTATTATTCGCATAAATATAAGGAAACCATCTCTCGCTGTGCAGGGTTTATTTTTCTCCCTGTGAAAGAAAACGGAGTGAATTTATATTCTTTTGCCAGCAACGCGTACCGAATTAAATTTTGCAGAAAATTCACATTTCATTTCACACACACACGCTGCGCGCGAGGCAAGAAACTATGACAAACGTCTCGGAACTGCGTGCTTTTGTACTCGGCCCTGGCATTTCTCGCGCTTTCTCTCTCTCTGCAGGATTAATTATCCGCTGAGGGAAATAACTTTTTGCGCGCGTGACGAAATTCGCACTGGCCCCTCCGAGGGATTCCGCACG